GCACCTAAGGCATAGAAGTGGCATTACATGTACAGAAGACCTAGGGAAGTGTCTATGTATCCCTATCATTCACAAGAGGGTAACAAGGAGCACTATAACTCGGTGATTGGTAATATTCAAAAGAAATTGAGTGGTTGAAAAATTAAAAACCTTTCATTAGCATGAAGAAACACTCTTGTGCAAGCTGATACCTCAACCATCCCAACCTACACTATGCAAACCTCTTGGTTACCCCAGTCCACCTGTGAGAAAATTGATAGGTTAAATAGGAACTTCTTTTTAGGGGGGATACGGAGGAGAGAAAAAAGGTCCACTTGATTAATTGGGACACTGTCTGCACCCCTAAGACATTTGGGGGACCGGGCTTGAGGAAATGTAGAGAGAACAACTTAGTTATCCAGTCTAAACTGGGTTGGAGTTTGCATTTTGAGGGTAAGTCCCTATGGGTTAAAGTTGTCAAAAATAAGTACATGAATCCATCCTTGAAAGATTGACCACTTAAATCTAATGCTTCTCCAATATGGAGAGCCTTGTTAAAAACCAGTCAAGTTGTGAAGGAAAACACAAAATGGCTCATTAGTAATGGTTCAAAAGTCTCACTGTGGAATGATTGGTGGACAGGTGATAGCCCACTCCAAAGAAGGATGCAGATACCATCATCAGCTGACCCCAACAGCACAGTGGCAGATATCATAAGTCCCACAGGTAACTAAAATATCCAGAAAGCAGGTATGTGCCTTCCCTCTAACATTATCTCTAATCTCTTGCACTATCCACTGCCACTGGAAGGCTCCCATCAAGACTCACCATCCTGGGGACTTACAAGCAATGGAAAATTTTCTATCAAATCTGCTTATAACTGGATTTCTAAACCTAATCTAAGTCAGCATCATGGATTAAACTGGAATTGGTTTTGGAAGTTTGGGATACCACAGAAACTCAAGCACTTTCTGTGGCTGGTCCAATGCAACAAACTCTTTTAAAACTCCCTGAGGTTCACAAGAACCTCACGAATGATCCTTCCTATGAGAGATGCAGGGCTCATAACGAAAACACAATTCATATCCTGAGAGATTGCCCAAAAGTTGGTCTGTTCTGGGGATCATTCCTTACCAGGAATGATCTCCACCAGGATCAATCTATGGACCTCCATAATTGACTCATTAAAAACTATAAAGTTAGAAAGGATATTTGTTGGAGAGGAGTGAAATGGCATATTCTTTTTGCTTCTCTAAAATGGAACATCTGGAAAGATGGGAATCAAGAATATCTGGGTAACACAACCCCAAAAAAAAAAATCATTACTAAGAAAGTTTGGAGACTGGCACGGGATTCATCGGATGCTTTCAATGAATCCCATACCCACGTGATTCCCAATCCCCCTAAACTCATTGGTTGGTCTTCCCTCCTGCAAGATGGACGAATATGAATGTGGATGGTAGCTCAAAAGGGAACCCTGGCTCAGCTGCAATAGGTGGACTGCTAAGGAATGATCAAGGAAGATGGTAGCTAGGTTTCTATGGAAAGCTTAAGGACTCCACGAGCCTTCAAGCTGAACTGTGAGCAATCTATCAAGGTCTCAAGATCATACAAACACAGAACCTCAAGAAGGTGATCATGAAGATTGACTCTTTCGAAGCCCTCAACCTAATCACTGCTAGGTTGGAGGAACCCCACCTCGAAAGGAATATNATAGGTTCTTCCCTTTCTATCTTATGTAATGGATCCCCTTTGGACCCAATTAAGCCTAGAAGTGGACTTAGACAGGGTTACCCATTGTCACCCTACTTATTTACGTTGTATGGAGAAATTAGGGCAGATCATTCAAAATAAAGTTGATAAAGGTTTATGGAGAGGCATCAAAACCTCTAGAAAAGGCACTGTCATTACTCATCTTCTTTTTGTTGATAACATCATCCTCTTCTCTAGGTTTACCGAAAAAGATTGTGACATGGTTAAAAGCTGACTTGGAAGATTTTTGATCTATCACAGGTCAAAAAGTAAGCATGTCTAAGTCTAGAGTCTACTTCTCTCCAAATATCAATAGGAGCCATGCACTGCACCTAAGGCATAGAAGTGGCATTACATGTACAGAAGACCTAGGGAAGTGTCTATGTATCCCTATCATTCACAAGAGGGTAACAAGGAGCACTATAACTCGGTGATTGGTAATATTCAAAAGAAATTGAGTGGTTGAAAAATTAAAAACCTTTCATTAGCATGAAGAAACACTCTTGTGCAAGCTGATACCTCAACCATCCCAACCTACACTATGCAAACCTCTTGGTTACCCCAGTCCACCTGTGAGAAAATTGATAGGTTAAATAGGAACTTCTTTTTAGGGGGGATACGGAGGAGAGAAAAAAGGTCCACTTGATTAATTGGGACACTGTCTGCACCCCTAAGACATTTGGGGGACCGGGCTTGAGGAAATGTAGAGAGAACAACTTAGTTATCCAGTCTAAACTGGGTTGGAGTTTGCATTTTGAGGGTAAGTCCCTATGGGTTAAAGTTGTCAAAAATAAGTACATGAATCCATCCTTGAAAGATTGACCACTTAAATCTAATGCTTCTCCAATATGGAGAGCCTTGTTAAAAACCAGTCAAGTTGTGAAGGAAAACACAAAATGGCTCATTAGTAATGGTTCAAAAGTCTCACTGTGGAATGATTGGTGGACAGGTGATAGCCCACTCCAAAGAAGGATGCAGATACCATCATCAGCTGACCCCAACAGCACAGTGGCAGATATCATAAGTCCCACAGGTAACTAAAATATCCAGAAAGCAGGTATGTGCCTTCCCTCTAACATTATCTCTAATCTCTTGCACTATCCACTGCCACTGGAAGGCTCCCATCAAGACTCACCATCCTGGGGACTTACAAGCAATGGAAAATTTTCTATCAAATCTGCTTATAACTGGATTTCTAAACCTAATCTAAGTCAGCATCATGGATTAAACTGGAATTGGTTTTGGAAGTTTGGGATACCACAGAAACTCAAGCACTTTCTGTGGCTGGTCCAATGCAACAAACTCTTTTAAAACTCCCTGAGGTTCACAAGAACCTTACGAATGATCCTTCCTATGAGAGATGCAGGGCTCATAACGAAAACACAATTCATATCCTGAGAGATTGCCCAAAAGTTGGTCTGTTCTGGGGATCATTCCTTACCAGGAATGATCTCCACCAGGATCAATCTATGGACCTCCATAATTGACTCATTAAAAACTATAAAGTTAGAAAGGATATTTGTTGGAGAGGAGTGAAATGGCATATTCTTTTTGCTTCTCTAAAATGGAACATCTGGAAAGATGGGAATCAAGAATATCTGGGTAACACAACCCCAAAAAAAAAAATCATTACTAAGAAAGTTTGGAGACTGGCACGGGATTCATCGGATGCTTTCAATGAATCCCATACCCACGTGATTCCCAATCCCCCTAAACTCATTGGTTGGTCTTCCCTCCTGCAAGATGGACGAATATGAATGTGGATGGTAGCTCAAAAGGGAACCCTGGCTCAGCTGCAATAGGTGGACTGCTAAGGAATGATCAAGGAAGATGGTAGCTAGGTTTCTATGGAAAGCTTAAGGACTCCACGAGCCTTCAAGCTGAACTGTGAGCTATCTATCAAGGTCTCAAGATCATACAAACACAGAACCTCAAGAAGGTGATCATGAAGATTGACTCTTTGGAAGCCCTCAACCTAATCACTGCTAGGTTGGAGGAACCCCACCTCGAAAGGAATATCATTGTCAAATGCAAGCATATAATGGGGTTGACTAATACCCCTATTCTTCACACACTGAGAGAAGGAAATTTATGTTCTAACAAGATGGCAAGCCTGGGAGGGCTTCAACAGGACTCTTTTGGGCTTTTTGATGTGCCACCGCCTGTGTTGGGACAGTTCCTTTTGAATGACCTTACATGTATCTCTTTTGCTAGAGGGTTTAGATAACCCTTTGGTTTTTCCTATGTACCAAAAAAACAAAAAAAAAGGAAAGTTATGGTTCTTATTGGAAAAAAAAAAAAGGCATACACATTTACCTTTCATGCCTTTCCTTGGCCGACAACAAGGATCTGAGAGATCTCAGTGATTTTATAGCAGACTCAACCACGTCCATCTCGTATTCTACCCTTTCATTAGTCCAACACTGCAAAAATTTTAAAAAATGGGTTGAACATCAGCACAATTGATGTTTTTCCAAATGTTGAATGTTCATATAGCTTTTGAACAATATAAACCAGATAAAAAATTGAACAGGTCAAGAAAAATAAGTGAAAAAACAACACCTAACCCCATTAATGATGGTCTGCGAGAGGCAGATTGGGCACCAACATAACCTTTTAGCATTATGCGAACAAAGTGAATGCCTTCCCGTCTGAACCCATAACCTCAAGGTTTCGTCCAAATTTTAACCATTGAACAAGTTAATGCAATCATATTCAAGTACAAAAACAAGTGGCCCCCTTTTGAAAAGGGCAAGAAAAAGAAAACCACAAACAGATAAATTCCAAAACATCTTATATGTGCAATAGGATTAGGAAGATTGGTGCATGTGCTACCTAATTGGTGATTGAAGATATTGTTAATGTCCATCGGACATAATATTTGAAGCAGCCCACAAATGCCAAACTAATGTTTAAACACCAAGCAGACATCTTCTCATTTACAATCAAATGTTCTTTAACAGTCGGTCATAAAACCAACTACATGACATTTGAATGTTGGAGAGGATCATATACAAACACAAGAATTTTAAAGTCAATTGGAAATGCATTAAAACGATTTTCCAGATAAGTCAAGTCATCAAACTAGTGGCAGTATATTATTTGGCACAAAACCACATACCCCATTCTGTGTATATCAGCCATATAAACAAATTGATGTCAAAATTGCATATCCCAGTGTGTCACAGGTAGCTTTTCCAGAAACCTGAGTTAACTTTTCCAGGCATTTACTTTCATTTAATCCGAATGCTAGGTTATACATCTTGGGTTCAGTAAATGTCAATGCTACCCAAGGTCGTATTAGTAAACTTTTCGTTAAACTTTCCAAAAATACAACTACATCTCACCTCCACAACTGAAGGATACTCGCATATCATGATAGATTCCTTCCTTGTACAACCACTCCTAGTAGGAAGCCGTTGCCACAATTCTTCTGTAACATAGGGCATAAATGGATGAAGTAACCGTAGCCCATTATCCAGACATACCCACAAGGTGTCTTGTGCAGACGTCTTTGCAGAAGCAAATGTTGGATCACTACTAGCAAAGTAAGGCTTGATTACTTCGATAAAAACATCACATAGTTGAAACTGCCACCATGAATATACTGCACTGGCTGCATCTGAAAAATCATATGAATCAAGAGATGACACAGTTTTGGATATGGCTTTGTTCAGTACCGAGAGTATCCACTGGCAGCAAAAGGGCATGATATCCGGAACTATATTCTTTGGAGGGGTGTAGTCATCTCCAAGCCTGCTCAAGGCAAACCTTATAGCATTCCACAATTTGTTACACCATTGGCGATAACCAACAACCCTTTGGATATCCAAATTTATCTTATCAGACTGGAAGGGCAAAAATCACAAAGTTATCAAACAACCCAAGGAAGCAGGAATCTGGAAAAAAAAAAAATTAGGAAATCGTGAACCTGAGCGGTGTAAGAGACAAGGGCAAACCGCAAAGCGTCTGCACCACATTCAGGAATACCATTGGGAAAGTCCTTCACCTGTCCTTCCTTGGCAATCTTCAACTCAGTGGGATCCAAGATACCCTCGTCCAGTCGCTTGTGAAGTCCGCCCAGGGTTATTCCACTTATAACTTCAACAGGATCAATTACATTTCCTAAAGACTTGGACATCTTCCGCCCATGTGCATCACGAATCATGGGGTGCAAATAAACCTGCAAGTTCAAAATGCATCCTTCAATCATTTTAACAGAAAAAGGTACCTGTATTCAAACCTGTTGGAAACTACATATATAAAATCTAGAGCAGATATAAAACTTCTGCACTCCTCCTATACCTCAACCTATGATACCTCTTTTTTGTATCTACTTATCAACTTAAGACCTTAGAATATTTTTTGGGGGTTTGGCTACAAGTTTGAGGCCTTACCATATTGTATAAACAAATTAAAAATTAGGTTTGATTTAAACCGATTTGTAACTTCTGATATCATTTCTCTGATGAAATGAAAAGATGCACGCCAACAAACTCTAGAACTCTTCCAGAGAGCAGTAATGCCGTAAAGAACCATGACAAAATTTGAACCTTTAATCTATCTGTGTGGTTCACAACACTTGGCCAAAGCACAAAACTGGAGATGGCATGGCACAGATACCATCTAATTAGCTACATGGCTATGACATGGTATGATACTGTGTACTCACCTTTCTAAAAGGCACATCACCCCCCAGCTTGATTCCTAACATCATCATCCGAGCAACCCAAAAAAAGAGAATGTCGTGCCCAGTTTCGAGAACAGAAGTCGGATAAAAAGCCTTCAAATCTTCAGTATCCTCTGGCCACCCTAGCACAGACAACGGAAAAAGACCAGAGGAAAACCAGGTGTCCAGCACATCAGGATCCTGAGACATCTGAAACTTCTTCCCATCAAACATTCTGCTAGCCTCTAACATAGCGTCTTCTTCATTTCTAGCAACCACCCAGTGGTCATTGTATACACCAAGTTCCTTCAGTTCATCATCATCCAGTGTCACATACCATGCAGGTATACGATGGCCCCACCACAGTTGCCTCGAGATGCACCAATCACGAATGTTCTCAAGCCATCTATGATATTTGAAACCCAGAAGTACAATACACTTAGACATTTATTCAAAAAAACGTCTACAGTTATCATGTTAAATAAGCTAGACCCTAAGACATGGCTCATGATATTTTGTCTCCATTATTAGCTCCATGAAACCTTAAACACTCTACCGTGCAAGTTAAGATCACATGTGAAAATACCTCTTCCATTCAGCAGCATATTGTTTTGGAATGATCTCCATTTTCTTACTTTCATCATTCATGACAGCATCAAGAGCTTGCTTGGCCATAACATTGCAGTTGACATACCACTGAGGCTTTATCAAGGGCTCCAGTACATCACTGGTTCTTGAACAAAGGCCAAGGCGCATCTCATTAGCTTTAGAACCTCTATAGAGTCCCTGGATGGAAGAAAAATAAAAAATTTAATCACTTTTTTAGTTTTTCTTTCTTCCATCTAAAGATAAATCGCATCCAAAGCAAGCATATATTGCAGCTACAAAGCTCCAATTATACCCCAGGATGCAGAAACGTGTGTGCTTGCCAACTTTTACTTTTTAAGTTTAGACAGAAGGGGGAACAAAACTAATAAACCAGATTATTCTTCACCAGCCCCTCCAGAACCGACACTGTATTTAAGAAGTTGCATCCTTAGGCATGCTAAAAAGGTCAATGCTGTCAGGAATCCCAATAAGAACAAAAGTATCCCCATTAGCAATAGCAACAAACTTAACATTCCACCAATTTCAACTTTTATCCAAAATACAAAGTGTTGAACCACTGACTGAAAAGTTGTCAAGTTAGGCAAACTGACTTGTTATGTTGTGTGAATACCTTTTCCTGTAAAGCTGCAGTCACGGCTTCACGGGCTTTGAAACGTGGCATGCCTGAAAACTCCATACCACCATTGCTGTTTATTTTTCCATCATCTGTGAAAACGTTGATAAAGTCAAGATTATGACGCTTTCCAACTTCAAAATCATTTGGATCATGGGCTGGAGTTATCTGCAAGAGAGTCAAAGCAGAATTCAAAAATTTACAATCCAAAGGTTAATCAAGAAAACTCATTTCTAAGTTACATATGGAGAATCGGTACCTTAACAGCACCAGTACCAAATTCTGGATCAACAAGTATTGCATCACAAACTATAGGAAGTTTCCTTCCATTAAACGGATGGATAGCAAATTTTCCATGAAGATGGCTGTATCTCTGGTCATCAGGATGTATGGCAATAGCAGTATCACCAAGCATTGTTTCAACTCTAGTCGTGGCCACAACAAGCTCCCCAAGATTTCCTTCTAGAGGGTAAGCAAATGATGTCAAAACACCAAATTCCACTGGATTTTCATATCCAGGAACCTTTAACAAAGTCCTATCTTTGATTTCCACATGTTCTACCTACAAACACCAACAAACTTCCAGAGATGTAGAATATGCTCTTGACTAAGTCATTCAGAAGACAAACAGTCTTGGCTTACCTCAATATCAGATATTGCTGTTCGCAAGACACAGTCCCAATTCACCAGCCGCAGATCCCTGAAGTACAGGGCAACACATAAAATAATCTGTGTACAGGTAATGCGTCAAATCAAAGGACAAGGTGACAAACATGATTAAATTGTCAAATAGATATAAAAAGATACAGTTTAACGAGAGAAGCAATAATAGACTAGAGCCAGCATAATAGAGCCCCATTACTACGTAATACAATATTGAGACAAGTCAAAAAACTAACATCAAAAAACTAACATCAAAAAACTAACATCAAGAACTAGCATTATGGCTATCACCCATTATCGGTTAGTGGTTCTGCGTTATGCTGAGAGGGGACCTTGATATAGAACAATGCTTGGCCTTATTAAGTGGATGCCTCTAAAATTTGTGCTCACAATCTCATGCTTAAAAGCCCAATTGCACCATGGAATGTGACCTGTCCTATCTATAATCCAAATTAAGATTAGGATAGAAAAATTGAGGAGAAAGGAACAATATTTAAAAGAAAGTGTGCAGAAGAAGTCACATCCCAAGTCCACAAGTAAAGCAAAACCACTTTATTTTTTTTTTTTTTTGGGAAAGTCAAAAGTCAAAAGCACTTTATTATAACATCATCAACCCTTTAAAGAACAATGATAAGCTGTCAATAGCCCTCTTTTTGTTTGGAAAGTGCTCTGCAAGCAGAATTTTAATAACAATTATCATTAAAAAATGATACTGGAGTGGCGTTTCTGCAAATAGTATGATATGAATGCACTATTCTTTCAATATGAATTAATGCTAGTGGGACACATTCTGGTCTGAAAATTCTGTATAAATTTTTTGTTTGTACACCATTACCGTTCTTTCTTTATATTCGTTTTCTTTTCAGGGTGGGTGAATGGGGTTTTTTTTCTTTATTTTGGGGGGGGTGGTGTAGACATGGAGGGAAGCATCACTTATAGAAGCAATGCAAAACTCAAATTCACAATGCCAAAGAACAAAGCAACTAAAAGCATGGATAACAATAGAAAGGGAAACAATGCTATCAATGTCGCATACCTATAAATAAGACCTTCATTGTAAAGCCGAACAAAGGCCTCTGTCACAGCCTTGGATCTTTTGTCATCCATCGTAAAGCACTGTGTGGAGAACACAACATGAGAACAGGGAGGGAAAAGCCAAAAAAGGGGAACAATCCAACTAAACAAACCAAGAAGCTTCCCAATTTTCAGGAGTATTAACTATATCTAGAATGGGGTCAAACTTGCAATGATATTTTTGAATTCTTGCCTCACGAGACCAATCAAGAGAAGCACCCAGGCACCGTAGTTGTTTTAATATGGTGCCCCCATACTCATTCTTCCAATTCCAGACCTATCACCAAAACATAAATGAACAAGGCTGAATATATTCATATAAATGATATTGTATTTTAGGACTTGAAATTATAATTGCAATTGAACAATCTAATGACAGCTCAAACTCACTTCAGACACAAATCTCTCGCGACCAACATCATGCCTAGTTAAACGCCTTTCCCGCATAATCTTCTTCTCGACAACGACCTGCAAATCAGCATTTAAGTTATATATCTAATATTATAGACAAAATTTGTAGTCAATGGAATGAAAGATAAAGGACTCTAGCTACAATGTGTGACATAAGCTGCATGCATGTGATGCCGCCTCATGTCAATGGGCGTGGATCCAGGTAGATTAGTCGCACATCTGAGATTTGAATTGCAACCTTATCCATGGAACAAATAAATAAATGGGACCTTTGGACCTTTTATTTCTCTTTTTCATTTTTTTTTTTTTTTTTTATGTGTGGCGTATGACAGACTGTTGGCTAATATGCATTTCAATTCCAATAGCACAAAATGATGAACAGTTGTTTAAGTGCATCATGTCCCCTTCATGATGTGTGGACGGATTAGAGCACTAACATACATGCAATACTCAGGCACAAAAAAAGGCTTGTCAACCCTCAAGGAATACAGATAGGATAAATTAAGAGAACTAGCATGTTAAAGAGGTGATAACAAATACAACCTGTGTTGCTATCCCAGCATGGTCCATCCCAGGTACCCACAAAGTATTGTATCCAGACATTCTTCGCCAACGAATGATAGTATCCTACATGGAAGAAAAATCAATAGCAAATTAATTGTAAATGAGAAGCCACTAGCAAAAATGCAAAATAAAAGCAAAATATATGTGAGACCTCGATGGCAGCCATAAGGGCATGGCCTATATGTAAGGCCCCAGTCACATTTGGAGGTGGCAGAACCTGTGGTTACACCGAAAAAAAAGTGAAGCTTAGAAAAAACCAAATTCCAAAATTCATATCCGGATTTCAGACCTGATATTCTTAGGTCTGTTTAGAAAGAGGGACACCCGAGGAAGTAGAAAAACAGAAAAAGGTAAGCCAGCAGGCCAAGAGGAATATGCTGCCCTACTGTTTTCCTTTTCTTTCCTTTACCCTTTCCTTCCTACCAAATAATGGAAACTCTCCATCCCCTTCCCTTTCCGTTCCTCTTTCCACATTGTTTACCGAAAGGAGTATTAGACATTTTCACATTTCATAAGACTTAAACACACTCATTAAATTTAGGTTATGTAAAATGGAGACATCACAACAATCATCAAAGCATTTAGTGCAGTGTTATGTTATAAGCATAGATCAGATTATAATTTAAAAAGTCACAGAAATTTTCCTATGTTCAATCATCCACCAAGGTTGTGACAAGTTGTGTTCCACTGGGTATCCTAGTGATATCCTGCACTTTTACCATCCACATTTTCTACTCTGAATTCAATCAACTAGTAATTAAAAAAATAACATGATATTGCAATAATTAAAACAATAACATGATATTACAATCTCGGCAGCAACTACCTAAGGTCCATATAGAAACTCACTATCGTAAACGGCGGTTTGGAGCTTTTGTTATCTGTGACAAAGAACCCTGATTTCTCCCACCATGCATACCACCTAAACAGTAATTATAAAACTTAAGAACTGCATTGATAATAAACACGAGTTCATATAATACCAAAAAGGACAAAAACCAACTCCAAACTTACGAATTTTCTACTGCACTTGGGTTGTAGGCCTTTGCCATCAGAGAAGAGAGCCGTTTCTTCTCACCAAAAGGCGTTACCGGGTCAGCATAATCCTCAGGGTTTTCTTCCCCTGCATCCCTCTTTAAGTTTTTCTTTTTACTCGTTTTCGAAGCAGAAGAACCTTGCTGTGCCTTGAAACAGATATAAGACATTTATAGTTCCATGAAAAAAAACAAACTAAAAAATATTTATGCTCTTCAGTCCTCAGAGGTGTCAACATACAAGAGGCAGCACGTATCATCAAAACTTACAAACCGAAATACACAAATAATACACTACTCAACTAGAATTCAACGGGAATTCAGAAATGAAGATATTCTTGCCTGAAACAAACTACAAACAACGATGTTAATCATACCTGAAGTTTGGCTGCTTCCGCTTTTTGTGCAGCCTTAAGTTTCTTCAATTCTTTCTCTCTTGCCTAACCCCAAAATGGTGCAAAGCTATAGTATTAATCCACAAGCACTATCATTAAACCAGAACAGTACCTATCTCTAGTATAATGTAACAACAACTTATTTAAAAAACCCAGATATACCAATGTCCAAATAAAATCATTTACTTACTTCGAAACTATGCATGAATGAAAAGGAAAACAATTGCCATCTTCAATTTCAAAAAAATAAAAATAAAATGTACTCAAGCCTCGTACCTTTTCTTCTTTCTTCTTCTTCTTTTCAGGATCTTCGACCTGTGATTGTGCCTCTGATCCCACCTACAACAGAACGAAAAAAGCATAATTAACACATAAAATTCATTTGCATCGGCGAATGACACTTGTAAGAGTATATTAACGACTGGAAATATAAATATCATGAAATTCCGTTACAAAACATTTACTTCTCTTTCGTTCTTCTTCTCCATGTCGTTTGATTGTGCCTCGGATTCAACCTACAAATAATAAAAATAAATAAAATTCACATCCAAAACCTAGGAACGAATCATATTCTGAATCAAACGAAAGAATACCAAACATTAACAGAATCGAAAAACTTGTAAACAAATTAAAGCTGTGACACAGTCTCTTACGCTCGCCATAGTGGTAGCTTTGAAATGGAGCAACCGAGCGTTCTCTCTCTTCCCTCTATCCACTGCTCTATGTTTCACTCGTGTGTATAAATTCGTCGGAGGCCTGACAGCTGCCGTTACTAAAACCCTAACGTAGGAGTGGAGAACGGTCATTAACGACGCTAGAAATAGTCGACGTAATTAATAAAATAAACAAATTACAGTGACATCCCCCTATATTATTCTAAATTAAAGAACAAATATTAAAGTGAAAGGCTTTTTCATATTCTACCCTATAATATATATCTACTAGCAATAATCTGGACATTTTGAGATATCAAAAAATTAACATGCAATATTTATATATTAAATAATAAATTATTTTTTATTTAATTTTTTTAATTACACAATTTAAAATTAGAGTGAATTGGGAGAAAATAAGAGAGAAGAGATGTGTACGTGGATTATTAGAGTTATTTTGCAATATGTTGTTTAAATTATTTGACATTAGAGTTGTGCAAAAAAATACGATGATATTGAGCGGCGAAAAAAATTTGAAATAAATTTTTTATTATTTAATTAAAATAGATAAAAGTGAGATCAATCTTAATCATCGATCATATTCAATGTTGACATACTAAAATTAATGTTTGCCTATTATACTGGTCAACTTTATCAGTTTTGGCTTTTTACACTAATTAAAAAGTCAATAAATTAATTATTGCAAAATACAAGTCTTAATTTCTTATACTTTCATATAATAATCGTCGAAATTTCAATTATTTAAAGTCTAACCGAGTTCAATTTTTTAACAAAAACATGTTTAAAGATAGAACAATGTTATTGAAAATTAATTTACTGACTTAATATGTTGACTTAATTCACTATAACTTTTGAATTAACTATGGGGGCATCAAACATTAAAACTTGGTATTAATAAAATGGTTTTAATAAAGCCACATCATTAAATCAATAAATTATGTCAAATTTTTAAGTCCAAATAACATTAGTCTTAAATATAACCTCTAAAATTTAATTATATTAGTAGAAACTCAACTTTTATTACCTGAGCAAAAAACAAAAACAAAATTACATATGATTTATATCTATTTTTGAAGATAACTTTTACTAAAATTAAAATGATTTTATTATCTAATTTTGCAATCTAAGCAAGTATGAAATAACTAAATTATGATATTTATGTTAATTAAGTTTTTTATTTCTTTTTTGTTAATTGAGTTCTTAAATTCTCTAATTATGAGAAATTAGAAGTTTAATTAACACAAATATAATTTAGAGACTTAATTGATATAAAAATCATAATTTAAAGATCATATATATATTACGATAAAAAAAAAAAGATCATATATATAGTTTATTCTAATCGTTTGTGCGACACATTTTATCACTTTTTGTTAAAAAAATTTTAATTAACACAAAATTAGAGATATAAACAAAATTAAAAATTTAATTAACACAAAAATTATAATTTAAAAATTATATATATAATTTATTCAAGAAGTACTATAGGTTTTACCGTTCTACTCACGAAAATATATTCATTATAACAATGATATGNCACTCGCCATAGTGGTAGCTTTGAAATGGAGCAACCGAGCGTTCTCTCTCTTCCCTCTATCCACTGCTCTATGTTTCACTCGTGTGTATAAATTGGTCGGAGGCCTGACAGCTGCCGTTACTAAAACCCTAACGTAGGAGTGGAGAACGGTCATTAACAACGCTAGAAATAGTCGACGTAATTAAAAATATAAACAAATTACAGTGACATCCCCCTATATTATTCTAAATTAAAGAACAAATATTAAAGTGAAAGGCTTTTTCATATTCTACCCTATAATATATATCTACTAGCAATAATCTGGACATTTTGAGATATCAAAAAATTAACATGCAATATTTATATATTAAATAATAAATTATTTTTTATTTAATTTTTTTAATTGCACAATTTAAAATTAGAGTGAATTGGGAGAAAATAAGAGAGAAGAGATGTGTACGTGGATTATTAGAGTTATTTTGCAATATGTTGTTTAAATTATTTGACATTAGAGTTGTGCAAAAAAATACGATGATATTGAGCGGCGAAAATTTTTTTTTATTATTTAATTAAAATAGATAAAAGTGAGATCAATCTTAATCGTTGATCATATTCAATGTTGACATACTAAAATTAATGTTTGCCTATTATACTGGTCAACTTGATCAGTTTTGGCTTTTCACACTAATTAAAAAGTCAATAAATTAATTATTGCAAAATACAAGTCTTAATTTCTTATACTTTCATTATAATAATCGTCGAAATTTCAATTATTTAAAGTCTAACCGAGTTCAATTTTTTAACAAAAACATGTTTAAAGATATAACAATGTTATTGAAAATTAATTTACTGACTTAATATGTTGATTTAATTCACTATAACTTTTAAATTAACTATGGGGATATCAAACATTAAAACTTGGTATTAATCAAATGGTTTTAACGAAGCCACATCATTAAGTCAATAAATTATGTCAAATTTTTAAGTCCAAATAACATTAGTCTTAAATATAACCTCTAAAATTTAATTGTATTAGTAGAAACTCAACTTTTGTTACCTGAGCAAAAAACAAAAACAAAATTACATATGATTTATATCTATTTTTGAAGATAACTTTTACTAAAATTAAAATGATTTTATTATCTAATTTTGCAATCTAAGCAAGTATGAAATAACTAAATTATGATATTTATGTTAATTAAGTTTTTTATTTCTTTTTTGTTAATTGAGTTCTTAAATTCTCTAATTATGAGAATTTAGAATTTTAATTAACACAAATATAATTTCGAGACTTAATTGATATAAAAGTCATAATTTAAAGATCATATATATATTACGATAAAAAAAAAAATCATATATATAGTTTATTCTAATCGTTTGTGCGACACATTTTATCACTTTTTGTTAAAAAAAAATTAATTAACACAAAATTAGAGATATAAACAAAATTAAAAATTTAATTAACACAAAAATTATAATTTAAAAATTATATATATAATTTATTCAAGAAGTACTATAGGTTTTACCGTTCTACTCACGAAAATATATTCATTATAACAATGATATGTTATCAAAATAAATAAATAAATAAATAAATAGACGCACAAAAATTAATAACCATTCCCAATGTAATCAAGTAACTACTGAGTCGAGTATACCTTATGTACTCCGTTCCATTCAGTATTTACTCGTGAAAAAATCAACGCCATTGACGATGGCTTCTGCAACTTTCTCAATCACCCTCCCTCACACAGTTCCAATTCCAAAGCACTACACACAAAGGCTAACCGATCATCACCGACTTGCTCTGCGTTCGTTTTCACCGTCTCGTCGGCGACATTTTTGTCTTAAATCCAAGGGCTCAAGCTCAACTACCTACATATCAGGCCCAGGTGCTGATGTAATAATCTCCGAGAACGATCCAGAGTTTCAAGACTCGGAATCGGAATCGGAATCGCAGCAGTCGACGAATTTGATAAGTTGGGGTCTAATATGGAGTCTTGTAGCTCGCCACAAGTTGAGACTTGCGGCTTCGGTTATCACTCTCGTCGGTTGCACCACTTGCATTCTCACCTTGCCCTTGTACATTGGTAAACGTCGGATAAAACTCCTAATACATTGCTCCTTTAATACGTTTGTTTTTACTCAGAAATATGAAGAAATAGAAAGTAATCTGAGTTATTTTGTACAAGATCTCCGATTTTGATAATTAGGACTACCAGTACCAGAATGTTCAAATTGTACTCGTGGAAAGGGCAATTTTATTGATTAACTCAAGAATGTGCTAGTGAGGAATGACTCGTCTGATACTCTTGTTTGTGTTGCTACATGTGGGGAATTTTTTTTTAATCGTAGGGAGATATTTCGAAGTACTTACAGGAGTGAGACCTGAACCTCTATGGAAGGTGCTCAGTAAGATGGGACTTCTGTATACATTGGAGCCAATTTTCACGATTATTTTCGTTTCAAACATGAACACCATATGGGAGAAGGTTATGTTAAGCTTAAGAGCTCAGATATTTCGAAGGGTATTGATTCAGAAGGTAAAATCAGTCGTTACAGCATATTATAATTATGAGCTTATGTTTTTTCTGTCATTGCTGAACAGACTTTAAGCTTATCTGCATGAAATAATGTATTGGGAATAGTCAAATGACCGTGACATATTGGTTTACATAAAACTTCTTGTCTATTTATATCGATAGACAGCCAAAAGACATGAAACATGGTAATTACATGTTACTTGAATTTANTCGTCGGAGGCCTGACAGCTGCCGTTACTAAAACCCTAACGTAGGAGTGGAGAACGGTCATTAACGACGCTAGAAATAGTCGACGTAATTAATAAAATAAACAAATTACAGTGACATCCCCCTATATTATTCTAAATTAAAGAACAAATATTAAAGTGAAAGGCTTTTTCATATTCTACCCTATAATATATATCTACTAGCAATAATCTGGACATTTTGAGATATCAAAAAATTAACATGCAATATTTATATATTAAATAATAAATTATTTTTTATTTAATTTTTTTAATTACACAATTTAAAATTAGAGTGAATTGGGAGAAAATAAGAGAGAAGAGATGTGTACGTGGATTATTAGAGTTATTTTGCAATATGTTGTTTAAATTATTTGACATTAGAGTTGTGCAAAAAAATACGATGATATTGAGCGGCGAAAATTTTTTTTTATTATTTAATTAAAATAGATAAAAGTGAGATCAATCTTAATCGTTGATCATATTCAATGTTGACATACTAAAATTAATGTTTGCCTATTATACTGGTCAACTTGATCAGTTTTGGCTTTTCACACTAATTAAAAAGTCAATAAATTAATTATTGCAAAATACAAGTCTTAATTTCTTATACTTTCATTATAATAATCGTCGAAATTTCAATTATTTAAAGTCTAACCGAGTTCAATTTTTTAACAAAAACATGTTTAAAGATATAACAATGTTATTGAAAATTAATTTACTGACTTAATATGTTGATTTAATTCACTATAACTTTTAAATTAACTATGGGGATATCAAACATTAAAACTTGGTATTAATCAAATGGTTTTAACGAAGCCACATCATTAAGTCAATAAATTATGTCAAATTTTTAAGTCCAAATAACATTAGTCTTAAATATAACCTCTAAAATTTAATTGTATTAGTAGAAACTCAACTTTTGTTACCTGAGCAAAAAACAAAAACAAAATTACATATGATTTATATCTATTTTTGAAGATAACTTTTACTAAAATTAAAATGATTTTATTATCTAATTTTGCAATCTAAGCAAGTATGAAATAACTAAATTATGATATTTATGTTAATTAAGTTTTTTATTTCTTTTTTGTTAATTGAGTTCTTAAATTCTCTAATTATGAGAATTTAGAATTTTAATTAACACAAATATAATTTCGAGACTTAATTGATATAAAAGTCATAATTTAAAGATCATATATATATTACGATAAAAAAAAAAATCATATATATAGTTTATTCTAATCGTTTGTGCGACACATTTTATCACTTTTTGTTAAAAAAAAATTAATTAACACAAAATTAGAGATATAAACAAAATTAAAAATTTAATTAACACAAAAATTATAATTTAAAAATTATATATATAATTTATTCAAGAAGTACTATAGGTTTTACCGTTCTACTCACGAAAATATATTCATTATAACAATGATATGATATCAAAATAAATAAATAGACGCACAAAAATTAATAACCATTCCCAATGTAATCAAGTAACTACTGAGTCGAGTATACCTTATGTACTCCGTTCCATTCAGTATTTACTCGTGAAAAAATCAACGCCATTGACGATGGCTTCTGCAACTTTCTCAATCACCCTCCCTCACACAGTTCCAATTCCAAAGCACTACACACAAAGGCTAACCGATCATCACCGACTTGCTCTGCGTTCGTTTTCACCGTCTCGTCGGCGACATTTTTGTCTTAAATCCAAGGGCTCAAGCTCAACTACCTACATATCAGGCCCAGGTGCTGATGTAATAATCTCCGAGAACGATCCAGAGTTTCAAGACTCGGAATCGGAATCGGAATCGCAGCAGTCGACGAATTTGATAAGTTGGGGTCTAATATGGAGTCTTGTAGCTCGCCACAAGTTGAGACTTGCGGCTTCGGTTATCACTCTCGTCGGTTGCACCACTTGCATTCTCACCTTGCCCTTGTACATTGGTAAACGTCGGATAAAACTCCTAATACATTGCTCCTTTAATACGTTTGTTTTTACTCAGAAATATGAAGAAATAGAAAGTAATCTGAGTTATTTTGTACAAGATCTCCGATTTTGATAATTAGGACTACCAGTACCAGAATGTTCAAATTGTACTCGTGGAAAGGGCAATTTTATTGATTAACTCAAGAATGTGCTAGTGAGGAATGACTCGTCTGATACTCTTGTTTGTGTTGCTACATGTGGGGAATTTTTTTTTAATCGTAGGGAGATATTTCGAAGTACTTACAGGAGTGAGACCTGAACCTCTATGGAAGGTGCTCAGTAAGATGGGACTTCTGTATACATTGGAGCCAATTTTCACGATTATTTTCGTTTCAAACATGAACACCATATGGGAGAAGGTTATGTTAAGCTTAAGAGCTCAGATATTTCGAAGGGTATTGATTCAGAAGGTAAAATCAGTCGTTACAGCATATTATAATTATGAGCTTATGTTTTTTCTGTCATTGCTGAACAGACTTTAAGCTTATCTGCATGAAATAATGTATTGGGAATAGTCAAATGACCGTGACATATTGGTTTACATAAAACTTCTTGTCTATTTATATCGATAGACAGCCAAAAGACATGAAACATGGTAATTACATGTTACTTGAATTTAGAAACTGTACATGCCAAAATTTTCAGGGGATATTAAATTGGTCTCAACCTTGTCTTTCTTTATGTTGGTGTTGATATTGGGTCACATGACTCACGTACTGCTGCCTGTTTGTGAAGAACAGTTATTGTATTTGTTCCGTAATGTTGTATCATTTAAAATATGATAATTCGTTTCGTGAAGTTCTATCCTTCTAACACAGTACTCTGATTTTTGAATATTACTATTCTTTCATCTTTGCAGGTGGAGTTTTTTGACCGATACAAGGTATGAATATGAGATCCTTCTCGTTGTGTGTGCTCCCGCTCCCGCTCCCATATCGAGATTCAAATAGATGGCTTTATTATGGGTGTATGATCTGTTTATTTTCTTTCTGAAGATCCCAAGATTCTGGAAGTATAAAGATGGAAGGCTTTCAATGCAGTGCTTCACAACATGATCTTTTTTGCCTAATAGTGTTATTGTAGACATAGACAGATATTTGGTGCTAGTATTTGCAATATGGTGATGACTGTAATGCTTTTTTTTTTTTTTTTTATGCAATGTTGCCTTCAAGAAGATTTTTCTGGAAGTAATAACTATCTACTGCTCTAATAATAGATTTCCAGTTTTGTGGCTTACTAACGTTTTTATCATTTTGGCACAAGGGTTGCATCTTTGGGTTTTGATCATGCTTCTTCAAATTTTTTATTTTTGTTGTTAGGTAACATTCTTCCCTCTACAACCCCTCTCGAAACACAAAGCCCGACCAACTTACTTAGGGATATGCTGTAATTGCATTAAAAACACTTGCCACTATCTGATTTTCAGGTGATTTGCATTGCATATTTTCTTGCTCACTGTCTTTTGACATTAAAGACTCTAAATGCAGGATGCTAAGTAGAGAAAATATAATAATGGAATATATGTGCGTAAGAAGCTATGAGTTTGAGAATTTTAATATTTTTAATTACCGGATAGCAAAATAGAAAGTCATAAGACACATGATACAGAATGCTTACATACTGAAAGGAAGACGGCAAGAAAGAGCAAGAAACATCAAGTACGAAATTTTGTCATATCATCCAGAGTGATACAGAAGATGCTAAACTTGAAACAAGCTTGCTATGGATGCTAAACTTCTTGCCTTTGGAAAAAAGTCAATTTGGTTATGACCTGCTCCTTTTGCTTTTATCATGNCTGTTTATTTTCTTTCTGAAGATCCCAAGATTCTGGAAGTATAAAGATGGAAGGCTTTCAATGCAGTGCTTCACAACATGATCTTTTTTGCCTAATAGTGTTATTGTAGACATAGACAGATATTTGGTGCTAGTATTTGCAATATGGTGATGACTGTAATGCTTTTTTTTTTTTTATGCAATGTTGCCTTCAAGAAGATTTTTCTGGAAGTAATAACTATCTACTGCTCTAATAATAGATTTCCAGTTTTGTGGCTTACTAACGTTTTTATCATTTTGGCACAAGGGTTGCATCTTTGGGTTTTGATCATGCTTCTTCAAATTTTTTATTTTTGTTGTTAGGCAACATTCTTCCCTCTACAACCCCTCTCGAAACACAAAGCCCGACCAACTTACTTAGGGATATGCTGTAATTGCATTAAAAACACTTGCCACTATCTGATTTTCAGGTGATTTGCATTGCATATTTTCTTGCTCACTGTCTTTTGACATTAAAGACTCTAAATGCAGGATGCTAAGTAGAGAAAATATAATAATGGAATATATGTGCGTAAGAAGCTATGAGTTTGAGAATTTTAATATTTTTAATTACCGGATAGCAAAATAGAAAGTCATAAGACACATGATACAGAATGCTTACATACTGAAAGGAAGACGGCAAGAAAGAGCAAGAAACATCAAGTACTAAATTTTGTCATATCATCCAGAGTGATACAGAAGATGCTAAACTTGAAACAAGCTTGCTATGGATGTGTAAAAAGAAAAGTTCAGCAGGTGTTAACCTTTGAATGATGGTTTTGCCTTTGGAAAAAAGTCAATTTGGTTATGACCTGCTCCTTTTGCTTTTATCATGTTCATCCTAATGGAACGTTTCTGGTCATGATGGTTATGCTATTCCTATAGCTGCTGCTACTATTGATATGATAGTTTACAGTTTGCTTTTTGTAGGTTGGTGAACTCACTGCTTTATTGACATCAGAGTTGGGTTCACTTAAAAATATTGTGAGTGAAAACACTTCCAGGGACCGTGGTTTCAGGGCACTATCTGAGGCAAGCTATTCTACACTAAGCAGAAGTGAGCTTTATGTTTCCATTTTTTTAACTTTTCTTTTGATGAGAAAAGTGAGGTTTATGTGGACTTGATTCTCTTTTATTCTAATGACTTTTTTGCACTTCATATTTGACGTAGCTTTCCATAATCGTTTGATTTTATTCTCACAATAATTTGCTGAGAAAGTTACCAAGTTTTTCCATTATTACAACAATTTTCCATTACCTGCGATTTGAGAAGGGTTTGTTGAGTTAAGTTGAGAATGCACTTCTACAATGTTGATTACCAGTCTTATGGACAGTAGAGTCTGCCTTATCATCTTTGTGCAAAGTTAATCTGATGATCTTTTTAACCATTGGTGTCTTTTGCTTTTCTTGCAGGTGGTTGGGACAATAAGCTTGCTGTTTGTGCTGTCGCCCCCACTCGCACCAATTCTGTGCCTTCTTACACTTACTGTGTCTGTTTTAGTTGGTAATCATCTCTTTGAAAGAAGCCACTCACTATGTACTTTGTTTTCTGTTTGAAATGCATACTGTCCTCATCATGATAAGTGGGTTGGAAGTATGTTCTGTACTTTTTTTCCTTTTTCTTCTTAGAATCTTAATTCTATATCCACATCTTTAAATTCCATGCACAAATACGCTGGATTGTATTATAATGGTATGAATTAATTGCTTTGGAAAATCTGTGGTTTCAATTAATATGTGCGAGGTTTATTATTTCACTGGAAATACAACTAGAGTTTCCATATACTTCCACAAATAGATCTATGCATTGATACACAAATGCTTAAGCTCATGTTCAATACCACCTACTTTAAAGTTGTTCTAAAAATGTTCATCAATTGCTAGCTTTACAATTTCTTGTAACTGTCCTTTTTCATTGATGTTTTCTTGCCTGCTGCTGACACTTGTGTATTCTCAGCTGTGTACAAGCGGTCAACTGTGAGTGTATATAAAGCGCATGGATTGTCCCAAGCTTCTATCGCCGATTGTGTAAATGAAACTTTTTCTGCTATTCGTACTGTAAGTTCTTAGACTGCTTCACTGTGTGCTTACACTTTTCATGTCTTTTTTGGGTCACCTGAAGTTAGAAGTGTTTTGGTCATAGAAGTTTCCACCATAGTTTATTAGAGCCAGCAACTTATAGGATGATAAATGTATGATTTTATCAGTGATATTGTTCCTTCAGGTAAGGTCATTTGGTGGAGAAAAACATCAAATGTCAATGTTTGGTAGCCAGGTAAAATATTCCATTGAGGTCCCTTAATGATTGATATCCTTAAGCATATGCTCTTCTCAAGATATCCATGCACTTAACACCTTGTGGAGCTTGGCAGGTTCTTGCTTATCAGACTAGTGGCATAAAGCTTGGAATTTTCAAATCCGTTAATGAATCACTGACTAGGGTTGCGGTTTATATATCTTTGATGGCCTTATATTGTCTGGGAGGAAGTAAAGTAAAGGCGGTAAGCAGTTTGAGCTGATTTAACATTCTTATATTTTTTTTAAATGCTTGCATGTGATCGGGCCTGGCTCCTCTTTCAAATTAAATGATATCCTGCTCACATTTTATCAGCACATGTTGTTGTGGGTGTGTTGGTGACATTTAATTGAGCAATTCACATTTCTATAAGGGCTTGCATTCTTTCCATTTACCTCGGCAAAATTTTCACATGCTGCTTTCAGGGTGAACTCTCTGTGGGAACTGTGATTGCATTTATTGGGTACACCTTCACTTTAACCTTTGCTGTGAGTACTCTTTCTCACTGTTTACTTTTGCCTTTTCACTTTCTATAAGTGACTTGACACATTATGTTTTTCCAGGTTCAAGCGCTGGTTAACACATTTGGAGATCTTAGTGGAGCTTTTGCTGCTACAGACAGGATTAACGCTGTTTTATCTGGGGCTGAAATTGATGAAGCTCTTGCTTGTGGTTTAGAAAAAGAAATCAAGGAAAAAGAAGTGCATGATAAACATTTAGGAATGTTCTTTGATAATGGTTCCTATCGGAAAAGACAATCTCTAAAAGTGGGTCACATGTGGTCCTTAAATTCAGCTAGCAACGTACACAGCCTTGCAGAGTCTGGTGATATTTGTCTTGAAGGTATAACCAAATAAACCAATACACTCTTTTACTTGTTTGGGGTCATTGTGAATCCCAGATCTACCTAATGCATTTTGCATAATAAGATTTCAATTCTTGTTCACCTTTTAAGACCATGTATTTTTATAAGCAATCTAATTGAGAGATAACTATAATTCCGGTATGAGTTTGATGAGGATATCCATTTTTTGAGACTGGAAACCCTATCCGTATATGATTACAGCTCTCTTAGTTTTGCGAAATTAGTACAACTATGCAGTCAGATTTGTTAGCATTACTGGAAAGCTTTGGTTAGGGGGCATCATGTTTGATGTCCCATTTTTGTTTGCTGTTCATTATTCGATTTGCGAACCAAAAACTTCCCAAAGCCATTTTCTGTGGCTGTTTCTATGTATACAACAGTGATCACAGTACATATAGCATTTGTTCCACTGCTGCCAACAGACCTTCATTTGTTTGCAGATTTGCACTTCTCTTATCCATTGAGGCCTGATGTTGAAATACTTAATGGTCTTAATCTAACGCTAAGGTGTGGGACTGTAACTGCTCTTGTGGGCCCAAGTGGCGCAGGAAAAAGTACGATAGTGCAGCTATTGGCATGCTTCTACGAGGTTTCTTTTTTTTTTTTTACCTACTACTTATTGCTAATTGAAGTTTAGCTCTTTAAGTTCTGAGTATCTTGTCAATAATAAATTTCCTTATTTTGCAGCCAACCAGAGGTAGGATAACTGTTGCAGGTGAGGATGTACGAACATTTGACAAGAGGGAATGGGCTCGCGTTGTCTCCATAGTGAATCAAGTATTTCTCTTCATCTTCTTTCTAAGTACTTTACACTTTATTTTAGTGTTTGAAGAAAAGATATAAGCAATCCACGGATGCAACTGGGATGGGGTCGGAACTAGTACCCAAGCTAGCAATGGACATTAATTGGTAGTTATTTTGGCAGGTTGACAGTGTGGGAACTAGTTTGAGGATAAATCGTTAAGAGGAAAGGCTCCTGTTAAACCAACCCAACCAAGTATCTACTCTTAATGAACAGACACGCACGAGCATGAGGTCTAGTTCATTAAGAACATAGACTTTGGTTAAGCCATGCCCCATCCAAGAATACATTCTTAATGTACGGAAACATGACCGAGCAATCGGGCATGCTCTCTCTCACACACACAGAGGCACACACACCCACAAGCATGGAATTATGAATTCTACAAGGAACATCTATTCAAACCAAGCATTGTTGACATATTAACATGTCAGAAAACAGGTCAATATTAGAAAATTTAGGTAAAATGGTTATAAGATTGTGGAGTTAATTGGATGGGGTCTGTTTGAGGCAGTTAACTTCATGGAATGCAACCCAACCTGAATTTGGTGGCAACCAAAGGTGATTCTGATGAATTTATCTCTATGTAAATAATTTGCCGTTGCTTCTACAGGAGCCTGTTCTTTTCTCAGTATCTGTGGGGGAAAATATTGCATACGGGCTTCCAGGTGACTACGTATCCAAGGATGACGTGATAAAGGCAGCCAAAGCTGCTAATGCTCATGATTTCATAATTTCCCTCCCACAGGTCTGTCATCTCTCCGATATGCATACAATGCTTCTGCTAGTTTCTGTGCTTTTTCTGAAAGTTTATTTGATGGAAAGGGTTATGACACACCTGTTGGTGAGCGTGGGGGTTTACTAAGTGGAGGTCAGAGACAGGTACATCATTTAATGTGTTGGTTGGTGCGTGTGTTTTTTTTTTTTTTTTGGGCGGGGGGGGTTAGGTTGTTTGTATGGGAGAGAGAAGTAGAGAGAGGTCGGTACTGAAGCTTCTTATCTATTTTTCAGAGGGTTGCTATTGCTAGGGCTCTGCTCAAGAATGCCCCGATCCTGATACTAGATGAGGTATGGTTTTAGTTTGATTCTTGTGGCATCTGAATATTTTTTCAGTACCTTGAAAAGGCTTATAATGTGTCAGATTTGTCCCAATCAGGCTGATGGAACAAAGGGCAGTGTTATTGTTTTGAGTTCTAGACCATGTCTGTCCATTGAAACTTAAGAAAAATAATCGAAGTACTCTGTTCAAGAAGATCATGGTCAGGGTTATGAAGACGTAAATGGAACCCATCTGTGTCCAGCTTTACTAAAACAAATATGTTTCTTATACTGTTTTCAGCTATAAAAATAGTGCAAATCTATCTTTTTCAGGGCGCCGTGGATAAATTTCACCACCTTGCTTGCTTCACTCTTTTGATGTTTTCTTACTACAGGCTACCAGTGCTTTGGACGCAGTTAGTGAACGTCTGGTCCAGGATGCTTTAAACTACCTGATGAAGGGTAGGACAACATTGGTGATCGCTCACAGATTAAGCACCGTCCAAAATGCCAATCAAATTGCTCTCTGTTCTAACGGGAAAGTTGCAGAGCTGGGCACCCACTCTGAGTTGTTGAATAGGAAGGGTCAATATGCTTCTCTGGTTGACACTCAACGGCTTGCATTTGAATGAGATTGATAATAGCCAATGGAATGAGTATGTGAGGCGTGCACTTCACTTTCTTCTAATTAATTCTAGGCTCCTGCAAACCACATATTTACTCTCGTTTTGGTTTCTTTATGCAGGCATTCAAATCCGCCATGCTTGCAAGCCGGTTACCAGAAAAGATCAGAAAAGGAGGTTAGACGGGAAGATGAGTCGAAAACAAATAGAAAAAGGATCCATTTGACATAGTGTTGTTGAAGGTTAATATACTACCATTATGATCAATACAATTTGTATCACTTTGGCTAGACTTTTGTAAATTTACAAAAGCTATGAATGAAATTACCGCAGCAATTAATTTGTAGACATTGAATTTTTNCTAGGGCTCTGCTCAAGAATGCCCCGATCCTGATACTAGATGAGGTATGGTTTTAGTTTGATTCTTGTGGCATCTGAATATTTTTTCAGTACCTTGAAAAGGCTTATAATGTGTCAGATTTGTCCCAATCAGGCTGATGGAACAAAGGGCAGTGTTATTGTTTTGAGTTCTAGACCATGTCTGTCCATTGAAACTTAAGAAAAATAATCGAAGTACTCTGTTCAAGAAGATCATGGTCAGGGTTATGAAGACGTAAATGGAACCCATCTGTGTCCAGCTTTACTAAAACAAATATGTTTCTTATACTGTTTTCAGCTATAAAAATAGTGCAAATCTATCTTTTTCAGGGCGCCGTGGATAAATTTCACCACCTTGCTTGCTTCACTCTTTTGATGTTTTCTTACTACAGGCTACCAGTGCGTTGGACGCAGTTAGTGAACGTCTGGTCCAGGATGCTTTAAACTACCTGATGAAGGGTAGGACAACATTGGTGATCGCTCACAGATTAAGCACCGTCCAAAATGCCAATCAAATTGCTCTCTGTTCTAACGGGAAAGTTGCAGAGCTGGGCACCCACTCTGAGTTGTTGAATAGGAAGGGTCAATATGCTTCTCTGGTTGACACTCAACGGCTTGCATTTGAATGAGATTGATAATAGCCAATGGAATGAGTATGTGAGGCGTGCACTTCACTTTCTTCTAATTATTTCTAGGCTCCTGCAAACCACATATTTACTCTCGTTTTGGTTTCTTTATGCAGGCATTCAAATCCGCCATGCTTGCAAGCCGGTTACCAGAAAAGATCAGAAAAGGAGGTTAGACGGGAAGATGAGTCGAAAACAAATAGAAAAAGGATCCATTTGACATAGTGTTGTTGAAGGTTAATATACTACCATTATGATCAATACAATTTGTATCACTTTGGCTAGACTTTTGTAAATTTACAAAAGCTATGAATGAAATTACCGCAGCAATTAATTTGTAGACATTGAATTTTTTAAGTCCTGTCAAAGGAGATTGTAGCATTCAAACTGGCGAGGCATTCAGTAGGAAGGCCAAGGAAAGTGTTCATGAAAGAGTCGTTTATCGGTTCAACAGTAGCCACCCCTACCAGGCTGCACCTCCCTTCTTTATCGAGTCTCTTCCCTCTACCACTTCGGATTGTTCCGCTCGACTCCTCAGATGTCAACACTGTCTCCACCAGCAGTGGCGGAGCTTTATAAATATTCCCAACAGAAAACCAGAATCTGGCCTTGAACTCAAGATCAACCTAACAAAAAGCNGTACGGAAACATGACCGAGCAATCGGGCATGCTCTCTCTCACACACACAGAGGCACACACACCCACAAGCATGGAATTATGAATTCTACAAGGAACATCTATTCAAACCAAGCATTGTTGACATATTAACATGTCAGAAAACAGGTCAATATTAGAAAATTTANGGCAGCAACATTGACTGTTGGAGAATCAATGTATTCATTCATATTCAATGATCTTGCAGGGTATAAAAATTATAGTAATGAACCGTAATCAANAAACCAAGCATTGTTGACATATTAACATGTCAGAAAACAGGTCAATATTAGAAAATTTAGGTAAAATGGTTATAAGATTGTGGAGTTAATTGGATGGGGTCTGTTTGAGGCAGTTAACTTCATGGAATGCAACCCAACCTGAATTTGGTGGCAACCAAAGGTGATTCTGATGAATTTATCTCTATGTAAATAATTTGCCGTTGCTTCTACAGGAGCCTGTTCTTTTCTCAGTATCTGTGGGGGAAAATATTGCATACGGGCTTCCAGGTGACTACGTATCCAAGGATGACGTGATAAAGGCAGCCAAAGCTGCTAATGCTCATGATTTCATAATTTCCCTCCCACAGGTCTGTCATCTCTCCGATATGCATACAATGCTTCTGCTAGTTTCTGTGCTTTTTCTGAAAGTTTATTTGATGGAAAGGGTTATGACACACCTGTTGGTGAGCGTGGGGGTTTACTAAGTGGAGGTCAGAGACAGGTACATCATTTAATGTGTTGGTTGGTGCGTGTGTTTTTTTTTTTTTTTTGGGGGGGGGGGGGTAGGTTGTTTGTATGGGAGAGAGAAGTAGAGAGAGGTCGGTACTGAAGCTTCTTATCTATTTTTCAGAGGGTTGCTATTGCTAGGGCTCTGCTCAAGAATGCCCCGATCCTGATACTAGATGAGGTATGGTTTTAGTTTGATTCTTGTGGCATCTGAATATTTTTTCAGTACCTTGAAAAGGCTTATAATGTGTCAGATTTGTCCCAATCAGGCTGATGGAACAAAGGGCAGTGTTATTGTTTTGAGTTCTAGACCATGTCTGTCCATTGAAACTTAAGAAAAATAATCGAAGTACTCTGTTCAAGAAGATCATGGTCAGGGTTATGAAGACGTAAATGGAACCCATCTGTGTCCAGCTTTACTAAAACAAATATGTTTCTTATACTGTTTTCAGCTATAAAAATAGTGCAAATCTATCTTTTTCAGGGCGCCGTGGATAAATTTCACCACCTTGCTTGCTTCACTCTTTTGATGTTTTCTTACTACAGGCTACCAGTGCTTTGGACGCAGTTAGTGAACGTCTGGTCCAGGATGCTTTAAACTACCTGATGAAGGGTAGGACAACATTGGTGATCGCTCACAGATTAAGCACCGTCCAAAATGCCAATCAAATTGCTCTCTGTTCTAACGGGAAAGTTGCAGAGCTGGGCACCCACTCTGAGTTGTTGAATAGGAAGGGTCAATATGCTTCTCTGGTTGACACTCAACGGCTTGCATTTGAATGAGATTGATAATAGCCAATGGAATGAGTATGTGAGGCGTGCACTTCACTTTCTTCTAATTAATTCTAGGCTCCTGCAAACCACATATTTACTCTCGTTTTGGTTTCTTTATGCAGGCATTCAAATCCGCCATGCTTGCAAGCCGGTTACCAGAAAAGATCAGAAAAGGAGGTTAGACGGGAAGATGAGTCGAAAACAAATAGAAAAAGGATCCATTTGACATAGTGTTGTTGAAGGTTAATATACTACCATTATGATCAATACAATTTGTATCACTTTGGCTAGACTTTTGTAAATTTACAAAAGCTATGAATGAAATTACCGCAGCAATTAATTTGTAGACATTGAATTTTTTAAGTCCTGTCAAAGGAGATTGTAGCATTCAAACTGGCGAGGCATTCAGTAGGAAGGCCAAGGAAAGTGTTCATGAAAGAGTCGTTTATCGGTTCAACAGTAGCCACCCCTACCAGGCTGCACCTCCCTTCTTTATCGAGTCTCTTCCCTCTACCACTTCGGATTGTTCCGCTCGACTCCTCAGATGTCAACACTGTCTCCACCAGCAGTGGCGGAGCTTTATAAATATTCCCAACAGAAAACCAGAATCTGGCCTTGAACTCAAGATCAACCTAACAAAAAGCAGCAACATTGACCGTTGGAGAATCAATGTATTCATATTCAATGATCTTGCAGGGTATAAAAATTATAGTAATGAACCGTAATCAAAAACTCAAGACGAAGATCTCTCTCTCTCTCTATCAAATTCACCATTTATAAGCCCTCAGAGACTGAAAATCCACTCGATCCATATACTAACAAAATTAAGTAAAAAATCTTCTAATCTATTAGGATTTATACAATATCCTCAAAACAAAAAACATGCTTCTCAGTAAAATATTATTAGAATGACTTATAGGGATAAAATTGTGTTATTCATGTTTTACAATAACTTGGCCTCGTTTGAATTAATCATGTCATTTTTGAGTTCGTGAGTCCATCAAAAATAACCACCCTGCACAAAGGATTGTATATAAGGTGAAGAGTCCTTGTGTAGGAGCTCTCTTAAAATGACACATCCAGTGTGTACTTCTCTTCTCCAAAACCATCTCAGATATTAACAAATCTCTACTTCAATTCTACTTTCTTTTTTGGACGAATTTTACTTTGCTCCCCGAAAGATTTATAATTTCTCATTTTATATTCTTAAAATTAAATTCTTTGCATTCCGTCCTTAATATATTAAAAATATTACAATGTGACATTTGTATTAACTTTTTGCTAGTTTTTGTACTAGAGTCGATGGATTGATTTTTGACAAAAATATAAAAAAATAATGGCAGATATCAAAAATACACATTATAATTCTTTTAATATATTGATGGCGTAATATAAAAAAATTAATCTTTGAAGNAATAAAAAAATAACGGAAGATATCAGAAATACACATTATAATTCTTTTAATATATTGATGGCGTAATATAAAAAAATTAATCNATATAAAAAAATAATGGCAGATATCAAAAATACACATTATAATTCTTTTAATATATTGATGGCGTAATATAAAAAAATTAATCTTTGAAGGTATAAAATGAAAAACTTGAAATCCTAAGGGGTGCAAAGTACAAAAAATCCTTTTTTTTTTCTTTTTTATTTTAACATCATCAAACCAAAGGATAACGAGAGCAAGAGTATGATAATCTACCTGCCCAGATTCTTGGTTGATGCTTCCTCGAAAACTTTCTGGAACAATATCAATTCTGAGAAACGGTGGCAATGGCAATCCCAAGAACTTAGTTGTTGCAGTCGTCAATGGCGGAATATAGAGTGTTTTGATGTCATAATTGACAGAAACTACCCCATTATGATCATTATCTACGATCTTTGTACCTCTTCCACTACCCTTACCTCCTTCAGCATTGTATTCAAAGTTGGGATATCTAGAAATACCAAGCTTGCAATCACCCAGTGTCCTGAATCGAACAGTATATACCTCAGTTTTTTGTGGGTTTGTCTGAGTGAAATTGGTGGTGGAAATAGGCTGTTCTTGATTTTGACTGTAACAAGAGGAGGATAAGGTTAATGTTTTGATTCTATGCTTGGATTTAACTGAGGAAGATGAAGGTAAATGTTTTGGTTTGTTTTGGGGAATTCTGCATAGGATTTGAGGATTGGAGGAGCAAACTTGACAACCCATCCTTTGGTTAGTATTCATTGGATTCTATACAAGGCAAAACAAGAAAATTTATAGGTTATATAGACAAAGAACCACTGTATTACGCTCGGGCTATTAAAATATGACACGAATTTTCAACATGATATGAAATTAAAAATTTTGGGTCTTTCTTAAATTATCAGTTTAATAGATGAATAGACTCAACACAATATAATTAATAAATGAATCGAGTATGAATGAAACCAAAATAAACGACACGTCTCGTTTATATATGTATTATACATTGTTAATACACAAATCGGATATGACATGATTTATTATATAAGAATTAATAAAACGAATCGGATATTAATAAAATATTTTTTAATATAAATTCACTAAAATTCGACACAAGTCTGTTTCACCCGATATAATTGAGAGACATAATTCTAATTTACTTAATTTCAGTTAATGCTAGATAAATCACCGTAAATGATTGGAGGGTCCACTTCTAAAAAGTGAGTCTCCCTTGAATAAATAGTAAATGATTTACCCATGAATAAAATTACATAAAAATTATAATGGAGAGAATTTCAATTATTCAAGTAAATGATTTACCCATGAATAAAATTACATAAAAATGATAATGGAGAGAATTTCAATTTTTTTTTTTTTGATCAGCGAGAGAATTTCAATTGAGTAGCGCCCTACCGAGGAAGTTCAAGTGGAGATTTTTTTGGCTTTTATGCAACNGGATGAAACCAAAATAAACGATACGTCTCGTTTATATATGTATTATACATTGTTAATACACAAATCGGATATGACATGATTTATTATATACGAATTAATAAAACGAATCGAATATAAATAAAATATTTTTTAATATAAATTCGCTAAAATTCGACACAAGTCTGTCTCACCCGATATAATTGAGAGACATAATTCTAATTTACTTAATTTCAGTTAATGCTAGATAAATCACCGTAAATGATTGGAGGGTCCACTTCTAAAAAGTGAGTCTCCCTTGAATAAATAGTAAATGATTTACCCATGAATAAAATTACATAAAAATGATAATGGAGAGAATTTCAATTTTTTTTTTTTGATCAGCGAGAGAATTTCAATTGAGTAGCGCCCTACCGAGGAAGTTCAAGTGTAGATTTTTTTGGCTTTTATGCAACTGTTCACATCAAAATATGCGGCTGGTTTGCGTCCATAAGCTAAGACCTTATCATTACCCACCTTAAAGGACCTTATTTTCCAAAGAAATTTTCCAGAAGATCTTAATTCTATGGTGACCGACCAAGATACTTTTTACCTTTTCAACGACAAACTTAAAGAGGATTAAATCGGTTTCTAGTCGACAAATGTTTCAAAATCTCGTAAAATTTTTTTGGTTTTTTGGCAAGTTATAATTTCGTTTTAGTTAAAACATATCTCCTTTAGCTCGTAAAAACAATTTTTTCGCATGTTGAGATAAAACTACGTATATATAACTCAACTCAACTTTAGTGATTGTGAGGTCTAGTGTACTGAGCCGCCATGTTTATATCTTTTCCTTTCACTCTTCTTTTTCATGGAGATGTATATGATTGTGTTAATGTTTGGATTTACAATTGGTTCCGAAATGGGTCAATGCACATTTTTCGATCCATTTACAGGCATAATATTGACTAATTTTTTTTTATCATTTTTTAATNATTTTCCAGAAGATCTTAATTCTATGGTGACCGACCAAGATACTTTTTAACTTTTCAACTTTTCAACGACAAACTTAAGAGGATTAAATCGGTTTCTAGTCGACAAATGTTTCAAAATCTCGTAAAATTTTTTTGGTTTTTTGGCAAATTATAATTTCGTTTTAGTTAAAACATATCTTCTTTAGTTCGTAAAAACAACTTTTTCGTATGTTGAGATAAAACTACGTATAACTTTAGTGATTGTGAGGTCTAGTGTACTGAGCCGCCATGTTTATATCTTTTCCTTTCACTCTTCTTTTTCATGGAGATGTATATGATTGTGTTAATGTTTGGATTTACAATTGGTTCCGAAATGGGTCAATGCACATTTTTCGATCCATTTACAGGCATAATATTGACTAATTTTTTTTTATCATTTTTTAATTCTTTGGCCAGCCTAAACCAGTCATATAAACTCTGAAAAATGAAGGAAACCAACTTACATCAATCACCCATGGCTAAAATGACCTGAGAAATTCGAAAAATATTACTCATGGTACAAACCTTTACAGAGCAAACATCAAACTGGAAGCAAGTATTAGGGTTCATCACTGGAGTTCAACTACAAACCTACTACATTACATTAGCACAAAAATTGCAAGTAGGCACATTAGGTCAAGTATCTTCATCTTCATTCTTCATTAGATCCTGCAGGTTGATCCAATTTTGCCACCCGATCCACACTTTCAACAGACAAGAGAAGATCTAAGGGAGGTGGCAGTAGGGAGACGTGTGCATGATGCCCACCGAATTACTGACTCAGTAACCACAAGATCGAGCTGCTCAAATTCACCATGCCCAATTGTACGGTTCCTCTTGCTGCGGATGTTTGACATTCTAGACCAATTGGTTCCTCCTGTCCTTTTCATTTCAGCTGCCTTATTGTCCATCTCTCTTGTCTCATACCCAAAGCACAGAGAAGAGTCCGGTACCATAAACAGTTTGCCCAAGCTTTCCTCTGCAAAACAAGGAAGTAGTTTTAGATCAAAAGTTTATTAGTAAGCATAAATATTGGATGGTAATAAGCTAAATTACCTTTATGGACAGAATCTTCTGTGGAAATGTTGGCCGAGAAATCCAACGCACAATTTCCTTGGTCTTGTGCGGTACCTGGGCTGAAGAATGCAAAGCTTGTCATTGAAAGGAGAGGGGTAGAGAATTCCAGGGTGTCTGATCCACAACTGCTGTGGAAAGAAAAGCCGCCAGTTTCAAAGCAATGTGTTGATGGGTCCCTCAAAAAAGAAGAAAACAATGATCTGCATGTAACTTCAGGTGGTGAGGCATCACAAATAATAGGGGAGCCGATGCCAAAACTGATGTCCTCATTTCTAGGCATAAAGTTTGCAGAGAAAGACCCTCTACCCAAATCCGATTCTCCACAACTTTGCTTTTCCCATACATATGGTTCTTCAAGAAGTGGTGCAGGGTCCCTCATCCAAGTGTGACCTATGAGAAGCAATCATCAAGTGTTGGGAAGGGGATAGAAGGGTGGGCTGACCTCTGAAATGATCTCAAAATTCAAGGAAAACTTTAAACTTTAGATATGCCAAGTAAAAGAAACTGGTTGCAGTGAATTGACCTACATTACTCAAAAACATGAATAACATGTCTCAATTCATCATAACAACGATTCTTGCCGCAATCCATGTCACAGAAACTCCAGGTGTTAGCTAAGTTATACATGGAGATGAATTTTCTGACGACCATAAACACCACAAATTGCAATGTCAATAGTTTACCACATGCATGGAATTAGCCAATATTGTTCATTAGAGTGCTCCAAGACATTAACAAAGGAAAACAGACAGACAAGCATGTATAGCAAAGATTTTAAGAGAAAAACATAAAAAATTATCATTAATTATCAGCAACGTCAACCAATGTAGTCTGTTTATATGAATTTTGTGTATCTTTCTAAATTATTGAGCAGTAGCCTCGTGTAAACTGTTGGCTTTTTGTGTTTCTTTGCAATTTTGTATCTGTTATGCACAGGGCTTTGCCCTTCAAATATAATCTTGCCGGTGATTGATAAGATTATAGAATTATCCCATGCTGTAACCTTCCCCCTTTACAAAGCACCCTACTAGAATCTGGACCTGGATACCTAAATTTAGCATTCATGATAGCTAGGCATTCTTTGTAAAACAACCAAGTGGGGACCAACTTACCTAGAATTTGCAGAGTTGTTAGCCTTTGAGAAGGGTCTTTACAGAGCATTCTCCTAACCAATTCCTTTGCAGAGTCAGATATATCATCCCAGGGATCAGAAGGAAACCGCAAATCAGCTACTCTAACAGCATGAAATATTCGCGACTTAGTCTTCCCCCAAAATGGTGGCCTCCCACTAAGAAGAATGTAAAGGATAACACCTGCACTCCAGATGTCAGCCGCCTGGTTGTAGCCTCCTGCCAGCACCTCAGGAGCTATATAAAATGGACTACCAACAGTCCCATTCAACTTCATCCCTGTTTGAACACCGCTCATATTTTTAAAACAGAAAACCACAAGTTTTTTTTGGTTACCCAAAGAAACTTGCTAGGTACATCAAAGAAATGTGAAACCTACCTGGCTTGATGTAGGTTGCAAGACCGAAATCAGCCAATTTAATTGGTGAAGAGGAGGTTTTTGTGGCTAACAGGATGTTCTCCGGCTTCAAATCCCTATGAACGACACCCTTGTCATGACAATACATCACCACTTGCATCAGTTGCCTGAATAGTATTCTAGCCCCAGCCTCAGATAATCTCCCGAGCTTCTCCAACTGATGAAAAAGCTCTCCCCCAGCACAAAGCTCCATCACCAAATGAACATAATCTTCCTCCTCATAAACTGCCTTGAGATCTACAACATTTGGGTGCCCAGACAACCTTGTCATTATCTCAATCTCAAGCTTGATACTCCGCACATCATCCTGGGTGACCAATTTATCCTTGGCAATTGATTTGCATGCCAATACTTCTCCAGTCAACTTATCAGAGCATGCCCTGATAATGCCAAACTGTCCCCAGCCCAACTGCTCTCCCAGAACATACCGATCTTTCAAATTTGATGTCTGATTTGGATCCAAAATGGTCTCACCCAAGTTTGCAACTTTGTAACAATTGCAAAGCAAAAATGATGACTTGCTATTGCTGTTGCTTTTGGCAACAGCCATACGAAATTGTGACTCCCCAAATAATCAGAAAATTCTGACCTGGATATCTGTTTTATGGTTCTCCGGGCTGGGATTATCAACTACCTTTTAGCAAAACCCCTTTTTAATAAGGTAGAAATGCTAAATTTGCAAGTCAAAAAAGGCCATTTTACTCCCATACCTACACCATAACCTAAGGTCAAGATACAGAAAGAAGCATCCAATAACTAGTGGTTAAAGTTTGACATCAGTGCTTACTGTGGCATACAGCGTATTTGGACAGTTGTTACAAAACAAACCTAAAAGCAACCAAGGATCAAGCTATCAGCTGCAATTTCCTCAATCTCTCCCGTATCATCTGGATCTGACAAACAATCAAAATGTATCAGAATTCAAAGTCACACTCTTAACACCATCAAAGGTACACAATCTTTTCCTTAAAGATAAAATCAATCAGTTTCACATCAGAAATAAACAAGAACCCCCTGGACAAGTTTTTGACAGATCATATGAACATTAGAACATATGTATGTATTTGAACACAGAGCAGTTCAGACAAGCACAACTCCTACCAAAGAGCATCGTTCATGAAAAAAAAACAATAAAAGTTTCAATTTTACTGGAAAAGATTCTCGAACACACGTAATTTAAACCCTAATCAGCTTCAAACAATAATGCTCATGAGCACAAAACCCCCAAGTTGACAAACAAAAAAACAAAACTCACCCTTCAAAAATTGGTCATTAAAAAAGCAACCCAGATCCAAAGTTTCGAAAACGAACATATAAAGAAACCAAACCTATCAAAACTCATCTTCAAATTCATGTGCAGAAAGAGATAGAGAATCAGAGTCAGAGAGGAAAGCCTAACCTGGAGAGACAGAGAGAGAGAAGCTTAGAGAGAGAAGGAAAGAGAGAATCACAGCAGCAGTCCGTTGGAGCTGTAATTCAGTCTCCCACGACTGCACTTCGTGGGCTCTCCCTGGTCTCCTCCTTTGTTTGCCAAATCCCCCACTTGTGTGTTTCTGTGTTTTGTGTTGTGTTTCTGTTGCTTTGTTTTGTTTTTCTTGTTTGGATTTTGTCTAAAATTTGAAATTGATTTCAACGCTTCCTCTGACTAAACTCTTACATTAATTTTATACTCTAATTTTTTAAGCCCTAATCTAAAATATGTTAATGGTTGGTCTAATCACCATCACCATGTTGATAGTCTTTAAAGTTGGGTTTAAATCTCGTCTTATTCCTACCTTATAATAGTACAATATACTTTTAATTTTTGAGTATTAATTTGACATCCAAATACCACAAGGTGATATGCTAAAGAATAAAACATGCATATATTTATTTAATACTTTAAGGTATGATTTTTAGTTACTCAGATATCCCAAATTTATTCTCTTTTCATATTTTCTAAAGATTACCTTTGTTCTTTTAATCTAGCTCAAGTCACGGTAACAACCACCGAACTCGAAAAAATAATCAATATAAACCAAAACATCCCGCAACTAAAACACACACACATAATCATACAATTTTTAATATGAATATTTTACTACTATACATGACACTGGCATTTATATTATCATCAAAAATATATTTTGCTCGACGATGTAATATCTTTTTGCCTCTTTCATCAATTACCATAGACACATGAATGTCGAAAAGTGATTTATTACAAAATATATAATGTCCCCAAATTGTGGAAAACCTTTACTCCAATATTATGAAAACTTCCAAAAAATGAAGTAAAATTAAAATTTTGTGACTACAAGAAATATTGGAAAATAAAGATGCATTAGTCTCTCAATATTCAGAATTTCGTTCAAACGAGTGTGTTATACTACTATTAGAATTTTTTTTTTTTTTTTGGGAGGGAAAAGAAGACTTGAACCCTTGATCTCAAAAAGACAAAATTTTTATAAGATAAAAAGTATCATTAAACCAAAAATCTATCGGTGTGTTATAGTACTACTAGAAGAAGGGGCACTTGTGGGAATGTACAATGTTTTTTTTTATTTTGGTCGAGTTGTACTATGGTTGACTTTTGGTAGGACTATATATATATTTTCTCTCTTGGATCCCACAATGACATAAATCATCTACGTTAGACCCAATTTCTTCATTCATATGACTTACAACTTGGACATCCTAAAATGATACATATGCGGCATGTTTGTTTTGCGGAAACATTGGTTGGTATTGACAAATGATATTCATACCAATCCAACCCCAATGAAATATAATTTAGTATTATTAGTCATAATTTGTGCCTAAAAATAAAAAAAAATATAAAATTTGAGCACTAAAAAAATCAATCTCATTATATTAAATTTTTTAAAAATGTGTATACTATCGTATATGGATAATGTTTAAAATAAAATTATATTAAATTATAAATTAATTAAATATTAAATAATTAAACATATGATAAAAATGAATGATGTGATATTTTTAAAAAATAAAAATTTAAATTATAATATATTTTATTATATAGATATAATGATTAATGTGGACCCTACAAAAAGTAAATTTGCAAGACTTGTTTGTCCCCTTGAGAAAAGATCAGTTTAACCCCAATGCATTCCACTCCTTGTGTGAGACCCGATCATATAGCATAATTATGTGGACTAAATTAAAATTATGTGAAAATATTAAAAGGTTAATTAAATTAAATCTTTCATAACCATAACATATATTTTGTATGTGGACCTCTTTTGTGATGAATTAGTGAGCCTCATTTATAGGAATTTCATGTGTGAAAAAAATAGTGGGTCGATTTTAAAAATACTTAAAACCTTGAGGGGAAGCGAGTATAATTACTTAATTAAATGGCTTACCTTTACACGTGTGTGCATGTGAAAAGGGTGAGTCAAGTGAGGCTGTTAAATGGCTGAGTGTGTGAGTGCCGAGTGTGGGTGGGTGTGTGTGTTTTAGAGTGAAGACGTGTGTGTGTCATTCCAGTGTAGCCGTGTGGGTGTGTCTAAAAAAAAAAAAAAAACAGTGTTCTGGTTTTGCTGGAAAAACGAGAGAGAAGGAGAGTAGAAAAAAATATATATCTGTGTGTGTATGTGTTAAACCGGAAGCAAGGAAGGAGAGAATCGATGGGTTCTAGCTCAAATCGTGAATAGAGTTGGTCTTTGTACAAAATTTGTTGTAAGTTATCTTCAATGTTCAATTTAATTTTAGTATTCACTTACAGTAAATTTAAGAAGATTGTTTATTTTAAGCGTTATAGAGATAATTTTAATTCCATGATGCATGTTGTATAGTAAATGACTTAAGAGAAGATTCTTAAGTATGGACTATTCTAGCTAATATAGCTACTGAAACATAGTTTTGTGATTAATCAACCATATAGCTAGATTAATATGTAAGTTTTAATGTTTGAGCTTATGATACCTGAATCTTTATATTATTTTAAGCCTTCCTTTTTCTATACGAAGGTATAGTAACTGGACAAGGGAAAGCTACAGAAGTAGGAATAAAAGTTTCGTGTGTATGGTTTCATGAAGGCATAAGGTGATAAATGAATTCATGTATTTGAATAGGGTGTGTAGATTTTATTAGAGAAGTGCATTTAAATTACACTGAACAAATAAACTGAAGTGTGGTTACATTCAGTTGCTAGGAAAACTAAATGTAATGTTCGTTTTAAAAAAACAAACTGCATACCTTGTAGTTGTATAGCAATAACTTTCTCTAGGAAACTCGAAACGATGCGCCGTTTGTTGGGCTGGAAACTAGAAACGTAGATCTTTCCATTGACATAAATTAGAGCACCTGGTTACCTCCCATAAAATATTTGTGTTAATTTAAAATTAAGTGGAAGTAGAGGAGTGATCGTAACATTTCAAATTCGATGTTTTATTGAAAAATAATTGGAATGGGTGGTTTAAGGGTTTAACTAAGGGGCTTCTTTACATGCTTAGATGTGTGTGTGAGTTAAGTGTGACTGTTTTAAAAAGAAAAGAGCGATAGAGGTTAGGAAAGGGTGCCGGTAACGCCGAAACCCTAATTTCTAAATGTTATTATCACATGTGAGACTTTTAATCCAATGACCTGAAATTTTGCATACAACATTTTTAAATGATGCTTGATGTGATAATGTGACTTACGAATGCAAATGAGTACAATATCCGATGCAAAATGTATGAAATACTGGAAGTGCAGTTTTTAGGATTCGGAGTCAAAATGTGTAGAAATGGACCCCCGATCAATGTGTTTGACCTACTTAATCCTAATTGTGATTAATGTGAGTGATTTTAGAGATTTGAGAAGAAAATGGGATTCCTGGAACAAAAGTGCTAATGTGTGAGTGGATAGTGTGGTAATCAGGGTTACCGGGGGCACTTTGGAGTGCATCATTTGCATGCATTAGTGCATTATTAACTATTAAATGTGATAAACATATTAATATTATAATTACAATAGGTGGAAGGGGTGAGGCAGTCGGTGTCGGAACAAATACGGTAACACTGAAAGGATCCACCGATAAAATCGAAGGGTTGTAGATCTGTTTTATTGGAGGTGGGTGTATATCTTTATATGTTTTGAAAATGCTATTATAATATGATAGTAAATAATAGAATTTAATAGCATTTTTTTCAAGATTATGTGCTATGTGTTTATGTGATTGGATGATGCTTTGTATTGTGTATTGTAGAATGTGGCGCACTATTTCAGACACAGGCGTCAATGTCTGATCACTAGGCGTGTAGTGATGTGCTAGCAGTGTGGTGTTCCTGGAAGGTTCAGGAGACACGGGTCTATATGTGATCGATTACTCGACGAGGGATAATATAGATATGATGTGGCTTATGAATTTTTTGGAATTGGATTGATGTTGTTGTTTGATACGTGTATTTACGTCGTATTTACCTACTTCAATGTATTACTATTATTCTATTTTATATACAACATGTATACTCACTGAGCGCGTGGTTTAGCTCACACCCCTACAGTTTCTTCTTTCAGGTACTATAGAGGAGAGTGCAGACTAATCTACTGTCCAGTTGATTGAGTCTCGTACAACGTTAGTGTGATACCACTCAGGTTGAGTGTCAGTATGACAAATTTCTGGATTGTGTATTATATTTTGTGAAAGATTATTCTAGCATGTAAATAGTATATATTTGTAAATAGATTCAACAAGCATACGTTGTAATGTATGTTACGTGGGTATGAGATTTTGTATATGTCTATAACCTGGAAACAAATGATTGGTACAAATGTTTTATATATGATACATGTTTTACCATCATGCTTAATAACTAAGATGATGAGTGATGTTGTTGCACCTGTAAGATTATATCATGTTTGATTAGTCTAGCTAATAATAATTGTAAATAAGTGTATTAAAAATCTAGTCGCATCTCATCCTTAGGAGACCAGAATGGGGGCGTGACACCTTGTGTGTGGAAGAGGAAAAACATTAAAAAAAATTATTATATCATTGGTGGGGCAAATACAACAAAATAATACCATGCCCCACATGGTATTCAATATGCCCATGTGCATGGGATGAGGCACACTGTAGTTAATTGGGTCAGGATTTCAGCTCACAAATTAGTACTACACACTAAGTAATTTGGTTCCAAACATGGTATAAATGGTTTCCAACTACTATTTTACTATATCTTACCACTTAATACCACTATTATAGGAAAAACAAACATGCCTACCTAGAACTAAAAAAATTTCATGATTTCCAAAGAATTGCAATCTTTGACTTCAAATATTCCAATTTTCTTTCAAACACGTAACCTTAAAGTCCAACAACGGAGTTGATGACTATTAGACAAACTACTAACCTCGAATACACTTATTTATTTATTTTTTCTTATACACTAATTCAAGTAGAGCAAAAGTCTCTCAGATTTTGTATCCTCTTCTTTGAACAAATTTTAATATGTAATGAACCAAGCATGAGCAATATCACTTCGACTTAAAATATTGACTTAATTTATAAACATGATTAATTATTGTAATTGATTTAAGAGGAGGTTGCAATATTTATTGAAATTATTTACTTATTTAATAATTATGATTAATTGAGTCAACAAATCAAATTACCATTTTATGTATAAGTAGCATTTTTCATAAAACATATAACCCACCTTTACCAAGTGCCAACAAAAAATAAAACAAGAAGACAAAGTTCTTGAGCCCATTGAACCCAAACGACAGCCCATTGGGGCTACAGTTACTATACGACGTTGTACAGTAAGAGGGCAGTGGGCAGCGACAGTAGACAAGCCCCTGATTGGTCTATCCCTCTTAAGCTGAGCGCTCCGTCTTCCTGTGACTTGCATGCTTGTTTCCTCTCGTTCGGGTGGAATCAAATGGAAACAGGAATGGAGGTTTTTCAACCCGAGATTGCAGTTGTGTAGGTATGAGTAGATTTATTGTGACATCTTTTTTCATTACTTCATACTTTTTTAGTGAATAATTGGGTTAATTTCAGCCACTGATGCCTTATCCGTACCCATTCCTTGGCAGAACTAGCATATTTTCGATTTACCCAACTCGCATATATTCATATACAGTTGATGTATTGTGATGTTTTTGATATATGGTGAATCACTATGTCGTTTATATGCTCTCTCTCTCTCTCTCTCTCTCTCTCTCTCTCGCTTTGAGTTAACTATACTACTACACCACCAAAGCACATATGGTTTGGCTGCTTGGAAAAAGATTATTCGAGTTGCATGTAAGATTGGCAAGGATATCCTTGACCGTTGAAAAAAAAAATGGTTTGGCTGAAGATTCTAAAATTGGACCTGAGTTCATGTTTTAAAATTTCCATTTTAATTTGCAGAATTTTGTTTACTATTACGTTCTAAAATTTAATATTGTTTGTTTTATGCATAAGTTCATAATTTCTTAGGGGGTGCTCTTATTAATCTTCAATGGAGCAGAAATATGTTAGAAGCACCTGTTTGAACAAAATTTACCTAATGAGCAAAAATGATTTAGATTGGCCAACTGATGGATTATAAGAATTCCCGAAATTACATCAAGTGAATTACTGGAACGTTATATTGAGTTGCATTTTTTTCAGTGTAAATATAGTTGGTTACTCTATTGTCTTGGACGTCAGGGGTCCAAGTCACGAAAATAGCATTTCTACGTGCGTGATAAGACTGTATGCATCTCGCAGTGGCGGGAGCCTGCCTTGTGTCTGTGTGGTGTTATTGTGGAGAAGTTCCTTCTGTTGGGAGCCCACTAACAAACCCTTATTCTTTTATTCCAGGAAAGTCCTGATTGGTGCCCACTATACCATAATAATCATCAATGGCACAAACTCTGAATTTGGTTTCATGTCCCTCAAGTTCTGGAACCAGGATTTCACTTGGAAAATATGGAACATTTGTTTCGAGATCCCCATCCAGACTATTTAGCATCCGCGCTGTGCAAGACAATGAGGGGCCTCCTCGACGGCTGGTTGACATTATTCGAATTGTGCCAGAAATCTCAAGGAATTACTTCAGAAGTACTCCTAGGAGGGCGCTTTTTGGGGGAATATCCTTATTGGGTGGCTTCTATGTGGCACAGACAATATCTCTATCGTTTGGAGCATTGGGAGTGAATGATGTAATTGCTGCAGTGGTGTGTGTTCTCCTTACAGAATATGCAACAAGGTTATATTACAGTCGGCCAAAGGTGACTTTCCCCCTTGCTCTGCTGAACAACTTCAAGATGGGTTTCACTTATGGTCTCTTCATTGATGCCTTTAAACTTGCCAGTTAAATTGACATGTCCCAGTTACTCGCCTTCCTGGCCGACATGCCTTATGTGGTACAAGTTATCTTGTCATGGGTTCTGTTCAGAATTTGGTATTAGAAATGCCATCTCTGCTCTATAGCTTTTCTGAATAAGGAACACTCCCCCATGAAAGCCATTCATATTGTCCCCAGTAGAGCATCCACTCTCCTGTTCTTCCCTTATTGGATATTTCCACTGTTGGATGACCTATTGTTTCTTTTAATGTAACCCTCTTGGCTTCGCTCTTGTTGATACCTTGCACAATGCATAACATGTATATGGAATTTGACAACTTGGATGGAATTGGCTTGTTCTTTTGTTCGGAATGCTCTCTCTCTCTCTCTCTCTCTCTCACACACACACACACACACACAGTTCTACCTTATGATAGCAACCTTTTTTTGTTCTTCCACGCATAGAGACTACATATGAGGAAGATGTGAATAAAGATGCACAAGTTCCTGTTGGAGTTGGAGGTGTTGGAGCAGTGAACACGACTCTTTCAATAGCTCTTGCAAGAGAAAGAAATGCGGTAAAGAGGAGTTCCAGGCGTGGTGTCTTCCGGGTCTCCTTTACATGAGATTAGGGCAGCATGGCAATGTTTAATGTAATATTTGGCAAGGGAGGTGAGAGATTTCTAGGATTAAGAAAAATGTCAAATTTGTTATTTTGTTAATGATAAAAGAACTTCTACAAGGTAGGGGTCATATTGGATTTACTTAAACATTAGATACTTGGAATTAGTCTCTAACCCTAAGTAGCGGATAAACTTGAAGAGACTTCAACGAGAATCAAATTTAGAATGTTGGAATTAATGATTTGTCACAAGCTAACCTACTCTCACTCAATCGCCCTTAGAATAAGAAGAAAATTTAATCCTTTCGCATTTTTGTGAATTTTCAATTAACTTACATTTCTATCTTATTTGATTAAAATGATCTGCAATAAAACTTGATACTAATACGTTATCTAGTACAATTTTGGTGCTAAGAATATCTTCAAATTTTATTCAAACAATGAAAATTTGAGTAAAAATTTGAGACTCAAATTTTTATTTAAATGAAGAGAGAATTAAACTCTTACTCAAAATTTTAAAATATAGAATTATTTTTAAAAAAGGGTAAATTATATTTTAACCTCCTTAATTATGACTTTTTTATTTTGCCCCTCTAATGATTAAAATTTTTATATTATTCCCTCAACTACTTTAATTATTTCACATTATCCCAATCATAAACGTTTGTTATTTTATTGGACAAAAAATTGTTGATGTGTTGGGCAAAGTGAAAAAAATTACATAATTCAGGTGATATAATGAAATAAAATTCTATTTAATATTTAATAGATTTTAATAACTGTGACAATGTAAAATAATTTTATAGTTAAGAATATAATATAAAAAATATGATAATTTAGATGACAAAGTAAACAAAGTCATAGTTAAATTAATAATTCAGGTGACAAAATGAAATTTTTTTTTTGTTAAATATGTAACAGATTTTAATAATTGGGATAATACGAAACTAGTTACATAGCTGAAGGTATAATATAAAAAATATGATAGTTGAGGGATCAAATTAAAAAGAAGTCATAGTTGAGGAGGTATAAATGTAATTTACCGTAACGCTATCGTGTTACTTCTATCATATTTCTTCCTACTTTCCAAAAAGAAACAATCCTTCTTCCACTTCTCCTCCTCCCAACCTCAGATACACCCTCTGCAACATATATTAGGGTTCTAATTCGATCCCTCAAAACCCTAACCCCAAATCCCCCCCTCCCACAATAATTCTCTCACCAACAATCCTTCACTCTCTCTCTTCTTCCAATCAGCCCAACCACACCCTCCTTGATCAAATCACTCAATCTCAGCTGCTGATTCCGATTATTCCGTGTGATGATCACACCAAATTCGCAAACTTTCGCTGCCTATTACACTTTGTGGTTTGAACGTCGCATACCACTCTTCAGTTCTTCAGAATATCATAGAGTCCACTGATCTTTACCCACGTATTTATACCTATAGCGGTTATATTTCTCTATAATGGATGTTGAAGGAAACAAGCGCGTTTTCCAACGACTTGGGCCGTCGTCGAACGATAACAAACAGCAAAAGGTTTGTTATCATTGGAGGGCAGGCCAGTGCAACAGATATCCATGTCCATTCTTACACAGAGAATTACCTGTGCCACAGCCCACTGCCAATGGTAAGGTGTCATCGAAGCGGTCCCACGGGTTCATCGATGATCAGAATTTACCTCGTAGGAATCCTAATTTTAACAACACTAGGAATCCCAATTTTAACAACAATTGGGGAAGAGTTCAGGGCGGTGGAGTGGTGAGGAAGATGGAGAAAGTGTGTATTTATTGGCTTCAAGGAAGTTGCAGTTTTGGCGATAAGTGTAGATATTTGCATTCTTGGTGTACTGGGGATTGTTTGTCGTTGTTGACTCAGCTCGAAGGGCATCAAAAGGTAGTGACTTGTATATGAATATTTTGAATTTGGCTGATTTAAGGTTTTATTAGTTTGAATTATTTCATTGCATATTAACATAATTGTTTCTAATTTGTCAAATTTGAGTCTTTATTGGGATTTGCATTGTATCTGTTCCTTAAACATGTGAGTGAATTCGATTGTCTAATTTTGGTTTCTTTTGACTTTGCATTGGTTGGAATACTTGTGACAATTAATGGGTTTTATTTGAACAGGTTGTTAGTGGGATTGCGATGCCATCTGGGTCTGACAAGCTTTATACTGGAAGTAAAGATGAGACTGTGAGAGTGTGGGACTGCCAATCTGGGCAGGTCACTATTTCTTTCATTATGTTGCTGCTCTTTTTGTGAAATAATTTTCGCTTTTGATATGTTTATCTTCATTTAATGCCTGTGATGCATGTTAAGTACTTTCAAATTTGGATTTTCTGTTATTTTGGGCCTATCACTATATAGTTAAAATTGTTGGGAAAAAAACAAACTAGGGCCTATACTCAACTGCATATGCAAAATGTTAGGCAAGCAAACCAGTTTGGCTTGTGCAAGTGTCTGAAAGGTGAAAAGAATTATGTGCTGGGCAAACAAAGATTTGGGAAATGAGAGTTCTATAATATATAAGCAAAAAACAAGTTACTCTGATTAAAAAATCTTTTTTGTTGTGATTTGTGAGCCTTTATCTTTAAGGAACCAAAATAACATGCCACATAAGGTGTGGATTTCTTTTTTCTAATTTCCCTTTCCTTCTGTTTTTCTGGCAACACTAGAGAACATGTAGAAGCCTTTATATGACATTAATTCTGTGTTATCTGCAGTGCGCTGGGGTGATTAATTTGGGTGGTGAAGTAGGTTGTGTGCTCAGTGAAGGCCCATGGGTATTTGTAGGCCTACCACATGTTGTCAAGGTAAGTTGGAAGCAGGACTTTCATTTTTTGTGTCAGTATATACTCCACTGTTCAATTTTTTTTGTCAAATCTTTTTAAGTGTATTGTAATCATGCCTCATTGGGATTGTGGTGGTCACATGGCAGGCATGGAATGCCCAAACCAACACTGACCTGAGTCTTAGTGGACCTGTCGGACAAGTCTATTCCCTGGTTGTGGGTAATGATTTGCTCTTTGCTGGTACACAGGTAAACCTTTTAACTATGAATGTGATTTGTAATTGTTTCCTTAAACACTTTCTTTTTTCAAAGTCTATCAGTGCCTTGCTGAAGTGGGTTTCACATTTTTCATAAGATCTGGATCTTTGTGTAACTGTTGCAAGTCACCTTGTTATGAGGGAGTGGTATTTAATAAGTAATTTTAGAAGGAACTCACCACATCTTTTGGGTTCTAGATTATGTAACATTTGAACTCCCTAGATTCATGGTGATCATAACTGCCCTAAGTTTTGCTGGTGTACATCTTCTAAGGAAAGCCTTCACATGTTTACATTCAGTTTCTGTGTGTGTGTGTGTGTGGTATTAGCATATCTTACTTCCATTGAAAGATGAAATTTGCTGACAGGATGGGACCATATTAGCATGGAAGTTCATTGCAGCCGCCAACTGCTTTGAACCTGCAGCATCACTTAAGGGGCATACACTTGCTGTTGTGACACTAGTTGTTGGAGCAAATAGGCTATACTCTGGTTCCATGGACCATTCAATAAGAGTAAGTAGGTTATAGTGGATATGCATTCTGCTGCGGTCTTTGATTCTTGACAGTAATTTTCACATATTAATTTTGCTTATGGTTTGTTGTTTCTCACTTTCAGTTTTCTTGGTTGCTTGTTCTGATTTCAGGTATGGAGCCTTGAGTCTTTGCAGTGCGTACAGACACTGTCAGATCATACTTCAGTTGTGATGTCTGTTCTTTGCTGGGATCAGTTTCTTTTATCCTGTGCACTTGATAAAACAATCAAGGTTTTATTTTATTTTTTTCGATGCAATGACGCATAAGATTCATGGCCCGTGTAGTTAGTTATTCCTTCTATTTCTTTCTTTTAAATACAGGTGTGGGTTGCTACTGAAAGTGGAAATTTGGAAGTAACATACACTCACAATGAAGAACATGTATGTTTCTTTAGCATGACTCTGTAATTTTAGAATAGTGTCTGAGTTTGTACAGAAATATATGTATAGTGAATTTGAAAAAGATAACCCTGTTAGCATTTATACCTCTTTATTTGTGAGACTTTGACTTTACAAGATAAACTACTTACTATAAAACTTTTCTTTTTAGAAAAAAGACAACTGGGGGTAAAGGACCTGATAACATTTTCAATTCCAACCAAGTATTTGCTGTTCATAGATGTAGCATAGTGTTCTTCGGGCAACAGAGCTGTCTGTCTTCTTAACTTTAACAAACTTTCTCATAAATGTTCATGTTGGTTATTATTCTCATAGCTGCATGCCCAATGGAAGCAATGTTGTAGGCCCCATTGCTTTGACAGTCTGATGTCTGGCTGTTCATTATTTTTTGCACTATGCTTTATCTTTGTTGATTTCTCTCCTCTACGCGCCTCTATGCTATCAATGTTGATTGACCTAGAAATATCTGGAAAGACGATCGATTTTAGTCATGAATTCAAATTTCTTTCTTCTAGAATGTTTTCTCCTCTGCCTATGGAACTATGTGTACTTCACTTGAAATTGTTTGTTATTTACGGCTTGTATGAGGGTGCTTTTCACACCACGGCCACATTTATTTGTTTATACAGTTGAGAGAACTTTGAATAGGTTGGTTCTGATTTGGGCCTGTAGATTTTCTGGTTCAGGAGGAGGCTTGACCCTTGGAAAATGCTTTACCATTGGAACAGATATTATGTTGTTTGGGGATGTGGCACCTGTCAGGCTCAACAGTGAAAGTGTTCTGGTCACTGTTTTGGTGAGAAGGGGATGCTAAGACTTGTCAGAGAGAGCTTTTTCCGGAGTGTATTATCTGCAAGGTCACCTTAAATTTGCCAAAATTTTAAACATGGGCAGCGTCTTCATCAAGAGTTCTTTTTGAACACAATTTTTGTACACTTATTTCTTAAGGTAGATGATCACGTTTCATGGAGTATGTAGGATTCTCCAAAAGTTAGCAAAACACATCTCTGTCAAATCTGGTTTCTTGTGTCTCAATCAGATCCATGTTGTCCATGAAGTCTTGGAGCATATTATCTTTCATGCAATTGCAACCTAAAAATGTGTATTTTCCTTATAAAATCCTTCTAGTTCCAGTTCCTAGTGTTTACTTAAATGTCATTATCTCAGATCTCTTAAGCGTGTGGTTTGATGTTGTGATCTGCCTTGTACAGGGTCTGCTCACCCTCTGTGGGATGCATGATTCGGAAGCCAAGCCAGTCTTGCTGTGCTCTTGTAATGACAACTCTGTCCGGGTCTATGACTTGCCATCGTAAGTGTAAAAATTTGACCACTTCTAGTATCTTACTGAGTTCTTTTTATTTTTTTCATCGATTATATATTTTGCACCATGGTTAGGTTTTCCGAGAGGGGCAAGATATTTTCAAAACAGGAGGTTCGATCCATTCAGCTAGGCCCAGGTGGTCTGTTTTTCACTGGCGATGGGACTGGTGAAGTGAGAGTTTGGAAATGGTCAACTGAGCAAACTGCAACCTCCTCATGAGTGACGGACAGTATTTATTTTCACTACAATATATCTTTTTGGTGTTTGCTTTCATCTTATTCTTTGTTCCTTTTTAAAACAAGTTTACAGAACGTAACAAAATATTTGAGATTGCCAGTTTCGACTTCCTTGTGGTAGCTGTGCAGTGGCACAAAAACTATTGTCATCCCTTTACGGTATACCATAAATTGTAGATTGTTTAGGCTTTGCCCCACGCATGTGTAATTGTAATATGTACCAGCCAAGAGTTTCGCCAATGAGGGTTCTTGCGCTAAAACATTTGGCCATCGTTGTACTCCCTTTTTTTTGTGGTTTACTCTGAAGGTTGTAATGTTTCGTATCTCTTCAAGAATTAAACTCTTGTTAATCTCAGGGCTTTCTCCAAATGATGAACTCTGAAGCCTCTGGTTTTTCCTTTGTGACTGAGAAGTGATCTATGTGATGGCTGTCATGTAAAATGGGGATTACTTACAATAAACTGTAGATCATGCGAATCGGGCCAACCAATAGTCTCTTGTGGGACTTAAATTTGGGAGCTCAAGGTAATATCTGTCCTAGACTCCTTTATTTTACACGATCTTTTTCTAGTCCAACCGCGGTCGAAATCTGGAAGAAGTGACCTTTTACCATCATGTATGTTGAAGACTCAGATCTTTCTTCTCCTGTTTATACCAGGAGGACCATATGAATGTTGGATTGATGGTTCTACTGTCTGTACAAAACAACTAGTTGACCCCCAAAGTATAAGGCCTTAAAGGGACATAGGGTGGGTCCCATGAGCCATAGACCACAAGGCCCACAAGGGTTTATAAGTTGGTTGGTTAGTTGGTGTTTGAATTTTGATGGTTAGAACTCTTACATTCTTGGTCAAGCACAGCTTGATAAAATCTCGAGCATTCGAGTCAAGTTCGAGCAAAATAAGTTCAATTTTTCAATTAAAACTTTAAATATTAAACAATAAAACTTTAGTGAAATTGAATATTTTCTCCTCCATTTCATTTTGTTGTGATCCTTTCTCATTTAGACTCGAGCCTTTTAGGGCTTGTTTGGATGGATTTTTAGGGAGAGTGTGAATTGATTTTCTCAAACGCTTCCAAATTTAAACTCCTATTTATAAAGATAAGATTCAACATTGAATCTGGTCCATATCTATGTTTAGAATGTAATACATACACATGTAGGATACGCTGACATGTCATAATTATTAACAACTATTTATCCTATAAATGACTAGTTTATTCTTAATTAATCCAATTTATACACATATTATCTTTTGCATCTTTAACTCTTTAACCCATTTTGTCGAACCCCCTCCTTAGGTTTGATGAAACCTATGATCATGAATTTAATATATGGGCCAACTACGAGCCGACTTTGAAAACTCATAATTGAATTTTCAATCCAAATATGAGGTTTGGAGGGGCCCTTTGAACTATTTTTTCAAAACTTATCTTGTCAAGCCCCCCCCCCTCCAAAATACCCCTCACCAAACAACTTAGTGATGGTAAAATATAACACGATTCGTTAATACGGCACAAACACTATATGAAATGAGAAGGTTTGACTCTTTTTACGCCACCCGTTTCTTAAATTAGTGGATCCGACACGACACGACACAATTAATAAATGAATCGAGTATGTGTGAAATTAATCAAATAAATACACGGCACGACTTGTTTATACATTAGTTATGCACAGTTCATATACGATACGAACCTAATATGATATAATTAGCTAAACACGAATTAATAAACAAATCGGATACAAGTAAAATAATTTTTAACATGAACTTTCTTCACCTGACACGACATGATTGACAGTTCTACTATGAAGATACTAAATTTCCCTAATTTTTGAATTAATTAATAAAAATACATATTTCTTCTCCAATTAAATCATCCCATGTGATCCATATACCCACTCCTACAATTTTTTTTAAAATTAATTCAAATTTGAATTTCTCAACATTTTTGTTAACTACTTAGTAGCGTGAAAGTTGAGTAAGAGCAGAACTTATCAAAAAAAATTATAAATTTTGTTCATCATACAAGATCGTCAATTGTAATTAATTATACAAAGGGAAGGTACACAAATATTCTTACATAGGTCACGCTTCCTCTTTAAATAGAGACATTTGATTTGTCTAAGTTTTGGTGTCACCTAAAAACTCACCTGCCAAATAAAGCCGCCACCGCCACCAAATTCCCCATAAACATATCGACGGTCAACTCTTCCAGAAAAATATAAAACTATATTCATAATTATAAAATTGACCAACTTGCTATTAAATATGGAGGGTAATGTGGTAAAATTCAAATAACAAATTAAACACTATCGTAACTTCTTATATATTAGAATTGAGAAGTTCTCGTATCACTTGAACTATAATTCTAATCCAAATACTAGCGTCACAAAATAGTTTTTCATATGACCCATTACTATCGTGATTTTGACCCACAAACATCTGTTTTTGTTAGTAAAAGTTTTTTTGTTTTTTTTTTGTTTAATGGTCAGGATTGTTCAAGTCAATTTATGTGCACCACGATAAATTTCCTTTGCGATTCTATCAAAGGCAAACTATTTATGCCGAAATTAGAGTTTTTATGAGGAATAAATTTCTCATAGTCTGACTCTAAAAAATTGCTAAGATTCGAACAAAATTTCAAAAGGATTTCGGGGTCAAGTTGTGGACAACAAAATTTTGTGTAATATTTCTTAAAAAAATTTCTCGGATTAGGTAGTAGGTTGAAAATGGTTGATGTAAGGCTTTATCTTATGCTTTTATTCATTACGAATATCATTATGAGGAAGGTTACATCTAACACTTGTAATCTTGTGAAAAACTAGAGGTTTCTAGATGATTGATTTGTACTACCTAATTTTTTTTCGCAATTTTTGTAAATGAAAGATCATCTGTCACGAAATTAATATTCGCTATATTTACATAAATTCTCAATAATACATGATAATTGATTTTTAATTGATGAAAAAATATATTCAAAAATGATGTAGACTAGACTGCCAAAATAATAGTCCAAAAGAAAGGTTTCCCCTTTGGTCAATTGGTGAGAAATAAGAAAAGGTCATTCATATAAGGGGCGGAGACTTGGGAAAGAGCAAACTCAAGAAAGTTTAAATGATAATAAATCTGACTTATAAATTTAAATACTTTGAATTCGAATATTAATAATTTTTTAAGGTCAAGTTAAATAAAGAATATATTTTTTATAAATATTTTAATTTTAAAGTAGATAATTTGTCTTTAATATGACAAAAAAAAAATTAATTAATCTAAAAACCCCTAACAGTTAAATAAAAAAAGAATAAAAGACTAGAAGACCTTGGAGCCAAATTACACACGGCGCTATGGTTGAACGACCAATTCCATCCTCTCTCTCCCCTCTACATATAATGTAATCCCCGTATTCTCTCAAGATTATCAGAACCCCTCTCTCTCTCTCTAAGTATGGCTTCTTCTAACACAAACCAGACCCTAAAAATATCAAAAGCCATATCTGATTCATCTTCATGGTACTGTGCTTTTGTAATTCTCTCTCTCATACTATTGGCTTCTGTTAAAGAGAACTCTCTGACAGAGGAGTCTGTGAGAGGAAACCAGCTCTTGAACAGGCCTTGTGATGAAATATATGTAGTCGGAGAAGGCGAAACACTCCATACCATCAGCGCCAAGTGCGACGACCCGTATATAATTGAGCAGAATCCATATATTCAAGACTCCGATGATGTTTACCCTGGACTTGTCATAAAGATCACTATTTCAAAGCCATGGAAGCTACAAAGGTAGTTTGTTATTTTTTTTCGTCAGCCACTGGTACAACGAAGAAGAGGATGAAATTTGAACCCACAATGTTAAAGTTGTATCAGTAGAGCTGCTAATGTAGGGAGAGGTTTTCCTATGTTTATTTGTATTTTGTATTATGTACAAAAACTTTCGTTTTTTTTTTTTTTGAGAAGAAATCACACTTTTGTTGTGGTAAGGAGCTAGGAAATGAATATATATATAGTTGGGTTTGTAATAAGATCATGAATTATTGTAGAGAGAGGTACCTTTTTTTTTTTTTGGTTTTTGCAAAACTAGTCAAAATATGGAGTTTATATTTTTACAATAATACAATTTGCACCTCATTTACTAATTTAATTTGTTTACTTAATCCATAACATAGCTATTGCATTTTTTTGTTACTCAAGTATACATAGGTACGAGCCTATAGAACAGATCCTTTTCAAGTAAGGTCGTACATAAGCTATTGTATTTGTAGCTCATTTCAACTAATAGTCTGTTTGGTAGGAGTGCAAAATAGGAAAGGTGAAAAAGTACGAGGGATAGACTTTTTATCCTTAGAGGAAAGAAAACCAATTTCTTTCATTGGTACGACGGATGAAAAATTTGATGGATTAATCTTCTATTTTTTGGTATCGGAGGAAAAATGAAAGGAAGAAAATACATATAAATTAAATTTACTATTTTACCCTCATTAAAAAAATTATATTTTTCTATTGCAAGTAGACTTTTCAAGATTTGAAAATGTTAAAAATCCCTCCAATTTGCTTTAAAAATTAATATATGTACAAAAAAATATATTTTTTCCTCCACTTTCTTGTGGAATCAACTAGATAAATGGTCTAAATTTTAATGTTTGTGTGTTTTTGAGAAATTTGTCGAAATTGATTAGTGAGGGATATAATAAAAAAATCGTTTAATAAATAAGGGTGATGATTATTGACATGGTATGATTAATTTTTTTGGTATGATGAATGAACAAATTGAGGACTAAATTTTCTATAGTTTGGTAAAAGAAATAAAAAAATGGAATGAAAAAATATATAAACTAAATTAAATATTATACCCTTGAATATAAATTATATTTTTTTATTATATATTGTAAAATTGCACTGTACAGAGAGTCAAAGAAAGGGTAAATATGAAGTGTAAAATAAAAACTATTTGTTACAAAAAAATTGACTTTGTGGCATGTTTCTAGGAAAATCTTGTCCATGTAAAAATAGCACCTTGTGAAGGGCATACAAGTAATTTACTTAGCCTCATTAAGGTCAGCAACACTTTTCTCCCACTTTTGAACGGAAAAAAATGGCGGGCGGAATGAAATCACTTTCCACGCACTTTTCCATCCCATTTGATTTTCCTTTGAAACTGAAAAAAAAAATATTATGTAATCTAAATTTGTATCTCAAATAAATGGCAACTATTATATGAGTGAGTCTCATCAATTTTTTAAATGAGACCCATTGATCGAATGATTCCCTTCATTTGGGATAAAATTTAGATTATAAATTTAAGTTACATAACATTGTTCAACTAAAAAAAGATATTATTTATTTCCTATCTATTTTTCATCATTCATTTTCTATTCATCCATTTTTCCATCGTATCAAACAAGGCCTAATATCATAACTCACCGTTAATTCAACGATTATAGTTGATTAAGTCAATAAATTATGATCAAATAACATTGCTCATATTTTTAAGCACATATCAATAGGTCATGTTATGCAATTTTTTGCCTTCTTTTTTTTTTGTTTGTTTGGTTTAAATTTATGTATAATACTAAGAAAAAAAGTAAACGTAGTACTAAGAAAAAAAGTAAACGTAAAAAAAAAAAAAAGCAATTCGCTGATGGGGATGGATTATGCTCCTTTTTCACAGAAAATGGAGAGATGTATTAATCAATTTATGAAATTTGTCAGGATTAACGGGCTCAAATCCATAAATTTTATTTGACAGGACGAGACTCTGACCGATTGAAATACAATCCTAGAAAAATGAGGTGTTCAACCCAAAAATTCTTTCCAGTCGTCTTATGTTCATTTGGTACGATGAAAAATTAGAAGAATAAAAAATTAGTAAGGAAAGATAGTGGGATTAAAAAAATATCATGTTTGGTAAGGAAAGAAAGTAAGAAGGATGGAAAAGTAAATGGATTAACTTTTCTTCTAACTCACCAAAATCAATCCCTCCAAAATCGAAAAGAAAGTGGATGAAAAAATAATTATTTGTGTTGAGATGTATCTTATTTGTCTATATATCTTATGTATATATTAATTTCATATAAAAATATAATGGTAAAATATATATATATATTTCAAAAATAAAATTTTAAAAAAATAAAAAAAATAAAAATTTTAAATTAAAAAAAAATATATTTTTTTAATCTTAACTAACGGTGAAAATTTTAAACTCAATACGATGACACGACTCGAACTCGATACGAAAATAATCAAGTCAACTTGCAACTCAAACACGACATAATTAATTAAATGAGTTAAGTTAAATTTAACTAATATTCAACACAAACTCGTAATGATTTAACACGAATCTGACACGATACGGCTCGACTCGATTGTCACTCTTAATCTTAGTCAGCACAAATTTTTTTTTTTTTTTAAAAATAGTTATTTTTATTTTCCATCCATCCAACCAAACACAAATGAAAAAAAAATGTATCATTTTTATTTTTCATTCTTGAAGAATAGAAAGTATATCCCTATTATTTTTCATTCTCTCTACTAAACGAAGCATTGGGTTTGCGCAGGAGGAGATGAATGGTGGTGTTTTTGGTGACACATTGTCCTATTCTTTTCTCTATTTTATTAGGCTTTTTCTAGATGACAAAAAGAGCCTTAAAGTTAAAGGGAGGTGATTGTAGTGAAGTCACGAAAAGAGTCGATAACTTCCGTAAGATGGTAAAACAAATCCACACACATTTGTGTATGTGGTTGAATTTAAGGTAAAGTAGAAATGAAGTTATTACTTCTTTATGATGTAATGCTTGACCCGATTCAATTGTTTTTTATTTCATGAGATGATGTACACAAATCTAACATTTGGGAAGTAACTCAAGTAATAATATGAACAAATTATAAATTTATTTGTCTTAAGAATTTTGATAATTTTTTTTAGGTCAAATTATAAAAAATTTATCTTTTATTAATATTTTAGTCTCATTATGAAAGACTTGTCATTGACCGAATTAAAGTGGAGATTAATCAAAGTACGTATAGACTGGTAAAGACCCCCCTGATCTTTAAACCAAAAATAAAATCTAACATTTACAACCCTTTTGGATAGTTCATGGCTGAACCTAACATTTGATAATCTTATATGTTTTAGGTTCAACACTTCTTATATTTTTTAAGGATCAACCACTCTTATTCTTCAAAAAATTTGTTCTCAACTCGCTCGGATTAAGTGGTCAGTATCCGAACTCGAAAAAATAATTGGCGCAAAGCTAGACTCTCTCTCTTTCTCTCTCTCTCTATATATATAACACTTACCTACCGAGACAAACATAAGCTTTACTTGAGTGAGAGATGGAGTCCAAAATTAGTTTTCAAAATAAAGTATGAATTTTTTTATGTTGTGATGGTCATCTTTGGTTAGAGTCGACCACTGAAGCCTTAAGTTTCAAAATTTCATATTAACCCCTTGATTTCTGTATAATTTTTAAGATACTGTCAAGTTTAGTCCCCTTGAAATAATAATTTTCATAATATGGTCAGTTTGAACCTCTTATGATATTCTATTTGACTCTTGATCAAGACCCCTAGCTAATTTTCAATTTCACATTTCAGCCCCATCTACATTATATGTTTGAAAAATAAAATTTTCCACTCATTATTACTCAAACATCTCCAAAAAGGTTTTCGTTTCTTAGATTTAAACAGTTCAGATAATGTCGAGTTTAAATGGGTTCGTATTGACATACTTGATGGATCTGGTGAGTCACACAAAGTGTGTTTGTTAACGCAAATTCAGCACTTAAAATAAATGTACTTGACATTTATTAATTAAGCACATTTGATAATTAAAATTTCAACTCTCTTAATATATTAAGTGCTCCTTTAAAATAGACTACAATATTAAATAGGAGATCCTTTATTTAATTCTGAAAGCTGAAAGCGCTTAGTAAAATCATCATTAATAATATTTATAATATGAAAATTATACTCCAAAATATATGGCAATACTATTAAAACTTTAACCTATCTATTCTCTTTGTCAATCTTCTTCTTCAACGAGGACGAATCGTCTTCTTCTTTTTTAACCTATCTATCTTACTTGTCAATCTTCTTCTTTAATGACGACAAGTCGTCTTCTTCTTCTTCTTTTTTTTCTTTCGTTCGTCTGCTTCAAATAAACATTCACTGGACACACAGAGTTATACACAGCCACACACGCACACACAGACAAACACTGCACACACATCCACCCCACCCAAACCACCCAACCCACACACGAACACAAATTGCACACACACACACACACATATATTTTTAATGAGATTTTATTTAATTTGATTATTTATTTATTTATTTTTTAATCAGATGTTATTATTCAACTATTGTGTTATTCAATTTATTATTATTCACTTATTGTTATCCAATTATTTATTAATTATTGTTCTTTTTTAGATCAGATGTTATTGTTTCACTTATTGTGTCATTTAATTTGTTATTATTCACTTATTGTGATTCGATTATTTATTTGTCATTATTTTTTTTTGATCAGATGTTATTGTTCACTTATTGTATTATTCAATTTATTATTGTTCACTTATTACTATTTGATTATTTATTAGTGATTATGATTTATGTTATGAATTAAATTGATTTGATATATTGTCATTTTTTATTAGGTAAAATCATATTTTATAAATATTTTTAAATTAAATAATAGAAGGGTAAAACTAAAAATTAATTTATTTTCAGACGTTAGCTCTATGTAGTTATCAAACATTTTAGTTTAATTCAGTACTTAAATTTCAG